AATTATAATTTATTTTTTAATCAACATGCAGAGATGATTTGATATAGATAATTTTGTTAAGTGAAATGTCATTGTTTCAATTTTTATACTTTCTATAACTATATCCGTTAGGATTTATTGCCAAACTATTACTGAAAGATGAGAAGTATTCATCTGTCTATATTTAATTAAATATTTATAAACAATTTATTGTTAGAGTAAAATTGGAATTTTGTTTTGTCAGATTATCTCTAAGTTGTGCGCTCCCAGCTGAATAGTTCAAGTCGATTATATCGTTTTTATCTTTCTAGATTAAGCCCACTGTGCTGGCATTAGGCTAATTGCCAATGGCTTATCGCTGTTTGGTTCGCCCGATTAATTTGCGTTCATCAGTGTTATGAACTTTGGCTGTGATTTGGGCATTTAGGCACAAAGTAACTTTAAATGGGTTCGATATGGAGACACTAAATAACTATTCGATAACTATATAGTAGAAAATGTCTTTGTATTACATTTCCATAAGTGAAACTCATTAATCAACTAGATTCTTAGATAGCTCGCTCTGACCGCGAAAACTAATATTTTAGATGACGAAATTGTGAAAGATAAAGATGGGAACACTGAAGGTCAGTTCATTATATTATTATAGACATGAATTTATTGCCATGATTAGTGTGCGTATCTATAAAACGAAACACAATATTTCGTTATTTTTACAGGTTCCATTTCGATTCGATTACTATTTGAGCATAAAATCGAAAAACATGCCATAAAATATTTGCAGCACGTTCAGATGCTGTTTGCTGTATTGGTTGATATATGAATGTGCTTGATACACTATAATTCATTGGGGCATGGAATTCTCAGTTCTCTCGTTGCTGTTGCTGCTAATCCATTAAATTTGAAATATGATTTTCGCTAGCGACTTTACAGCCATTTTCAAATGGACCAAATATGGAAGCGACGCTCGGCATTTTCGGATAAATGCAATAAGTTTTGTGCCAAGTCGTGGAGCGACGGGGGTCTTGGCTGGGCGATTTCGGCCTGGCTGGCGTTTGGGGCACGGGTCAGAGTTCGAGGCCAAACACAAATCATGCAAAGAGTTTGCTCCTTCACATGCGTCGGTTTCACTTTTGGCTTCTTTGTGCTTATGTCTGGCTAGGCACGTGCTGTCTCCCCTCTCTCTCTCTCTCTCTTTCTCTCTCTCCCTCCCGCTTCCCTCAGTTCTTCTAGCCGCCCACACACACAAATATTACGCAATTGTTGTCATCCAGCTGAGCAGAGCTGCACAGTGGAGCCATTTTATAAGCTCGTCGGGCGCCAGTCCTCGGGATTATGTGTGAAGTAAATTACATGTAATAGAGCTGCAAGTGCAATTCGCAAGGACTATTCAAGTCGTCCTTGCCGCAAAGCCAAATGAATGCAGCACACTTTAAAAATATCTTACATTGCCGCCGGCTTATCACTTTTGATCTTCCTGAAGTAGTCAGTATGAATATAGATTTAAATTTTATGTAAATATTTAAAAATATTTTCTTTAAAATTACGATCATATAAACATGATCAGCTCAAGAGTTTGGCGAATGTTGAAGCCATTCATACTTTGTAGCTTGGTTGTTATTATTAATGTTTATTTAATTTTATGCCATGTCTTGGGAATTGTTTGAAACAAGGAAACTTTTATATTTCGAAATATATATAAATTAAATATAAATTTGAGTATCAAATAGGAACTTTAGAAGTAAGAAGTAAGAGTAAGTTATATTTAAAAACTTTATTATTTTTCTAAGTTTTAAGAAATCCAGAATAAATATTTGTCGAATAGTAAAATTATTAATAATTTAATTATTAATTTTAATTGTAATTATTTGAATTTAGTTTCTATAAGAATACAACTCTGAATTTATATTCAAGAGTTAAATTTTCATCTTTAGTGAAATTATGACGCTCTTGTCAAGGACATACGTCGCATGCCGCTATAAAGTGGCGTCCGGGTCGCAAGTTCTACGCTGCTTCAGGTATTTTTTCTCACTCTTACACTCGCCCTCTCTCTTTCTCTATCTCGCCCTTAGTCTCTCTCTTGCTCTTTCTTTCTCTCTCCCTATCTGTCTGTCTGTTGCTCTCGCTCTTGCTCTGCCATTGTCGACAGACACTTTTCCGCCCACTTGTGGTATTTTTGCTGCCCGCAGCCACGCCCACATTTTAATATCTAGCCGCATTCTGTTGTTGTTTGTGTGTGCCTGTGTGTTGTCTCTTCTTTATGTGTCTTTTGTAATTTTGTGGAATTGTCATGTAAATGGGTTAAGTTCTGACACTAAATTGTTTTTTCCGAAAAGCCTTTCGCTTAGTTTACAGCTTTATTGTTTTCGATATGTTTTGCAAAATGAATTTTCATGTAAAGCTTTTGCTTTTTATTTACATTTTCCCCCACATTTCCCATTTTGTTCATTAAAATGCAACAATTGTGGCCAGGACAAGAAATAAGATTTGGAATATATTTATTTTCCATTGCTAATTCAATTTAATATCTCTGTGAGTCTGTGAACGACTGTATGTAAGAGTCATAAGAATACATCTCTATTATAAAAAATCTATATGCATGATTAGGGTAACAAGCTAAAGCTGATCTAGCCATATTCTTAGTGATATTAAATAATTTTCGTAGTGATCTTCGCATTGATGATACTTTCAATAATATATATCAATAACAGCAGCATATGTTTATATAGATATATATAATTGTTAAATAATTAAACTCTTGCATAAGTTAATTTTTTGCTTAGTGATACTTGGTATAGAGCGTTTTACTAAGTTATCCAACACATTAGCAAAATGTAATCAATATTTTCTTACTATTATATGTTATGCAGTTGCATAGGCGTAGGCGAAAAAGGTTTTGTTGTTTGTAAAACTTATGAAGCTAGACTCTTATTCTTTACAAATAATTTAGTTTTTTCTTCATTCTTTTGTCAAGCTGAAAATTTAGTCAATCATCCTATTAAGTTTGTTAGAGGGTGACTTCAACTAAAAAACATTGTTAAAGTCTGAAGACTTCAGGGCTCTCGCATGAACCACGTTTTAAGCATATGCAAGAGCGGCGCCCAGCTTTGGCCAATGGAATGCAAAGCGCAGCAAAATAAAATAATTTTAAAATTGGCCATTGAACTTTCATATCAGCGCAACTGGCGAAATGCTTTTTAAAACGCTTTAGCACGCGAACAAGCAAACTGCCACGCCCACTCATAATTGGAGGAGTATGAACGAGAAAGAAAACATGAAGCAAAACAGTGAACAGTAAAGAGGAAAGAGGGAGTTGTTAAACACAGCTTAAATAGAGGCAAATGTTACTAAAGAGGTGCTAAAATCGGGTTTGAATTGGAAAGATATTAATGATATTATGTGAAGATATTATATAATATTATAGGTATATATAAATAATATTTCAAATGTAATATGTTTATAAATTAATAATATTTTCAGTTATCAAAGTTGAATGAGTTTTTTTACGTTTATCTTAAATTTTCTTATATTATTTATTTATGTGTCACATAGAAAGATCTAAAGATCTTGCAAGTTAATAAGCTCACTCAGCCATGTATTTACAGGGTATATAAGCCCAACACAAATTGAACTTCCGCATATGGAACCCACTGATATAGTAACCCACTCCAAGGCACCTCAAATGCCCTGCAGCCCGGTTGTAGCCAATTGCATAATGTAATCAAAGTGGCTGCCAGTTGGGAGCTGCTGTTAATGCTCGTGATAAGCATTTAGTTAAATGCTCGCCATTGTTCCATTAGAGTCAAAAATGTAATGAACATTAATATTTAGTATGAAGCTGCTCTGCAGCTGTTTTTTAAAGTTTTGTCTTTAATATGCTTACAAAATAATTTAACACAATTTATTTGTGAGCGACCTTGAATACTATAATGAATTATATAAAATAATTGATTACATTTTAAATAAATATTTATGTTTATGTTAGGTTATATTATTAAGTTGTATATTTTTAATTGATTTAATACATAGCTGTATTATATACGCACATATATATTAAGAGAAATTTATCTTTAGAAATGCTTATCTACCAGATGCTTTGTAGCGCCATCTAGCGTACGCCAAAAACATTTTTATTTTATCTTCAATAATAAAATGCAATCTATATTCGTAAATATATATTTATTAATTTTTTATATACATATATATACATATATATATATTTATATATTTTTTAATTTATTTTTTTCCTATATATTTATTAATTTCAATGCTTATCTTGAAAATGCTCTTGCCTGTATTCGCGTGCCAATCAATTAGAGGAAGTACAAGACTTTGGAGAACATAACGTTTGTTTGTTCAATATGTTTCACTTATCAATGAGCGACAGGTTGCTCCGCCTGCTTCGAACTTACATAGCGTAATTAGCGCAATTAAATAAATAATTACTTCGTTTGATATATTGATTATTAAGCCATTTTTTTACCTTAACTGTGAAGCGAAATTCAATTTCTTGTATTTTTTGAGAACGCATGTAAGATTATACTGCTTTTGCTCCAATTACGGAAGGGAAAATTGGTCGACAGAAGGCATAAGATGTGATTTGGCTGTGAGTCTGTCTTGAATTGAGACTAGAAATATATAATGTATGGAATGTAATGTATAGAATAGACATAAGATTTGATTCGAAGATTTGCTCATATATATGTTAAACAGTAGACTCTTCTATTTTAATGTTATATTTTAGCACTAAAGTAGGGCCATCAAGTTCTTATATCCATATTAAGAAGCCTAGAATGATTACAGTAGTAGATCCTTCGAGGTTAGTTCCTCTAGAGAGTTTTGTTAGTTATAGATTACATCATCTGATGGCATTATCGGTTCAGCAGCTGTGGATTAAAATGTTGAATTTAATATTTTCTGCTATATATATAAATAATTTATCTTATTAATTTTAAATGATTTTATTTTTTTTGCTATGATTGATTCTCTAATAATAATTACAATTTTCCCTTTCTTTGCAGTTGCTCCAGAGATTAAATAAAAGTATGGAAAAACCTGTAGTAAATGTAAGTAAATAGCAGGATTATTCCTTTTTCCAGGAAATGGAACGTCAGACAAGAACACAAAGTAATTTTGTTTCAATTGCATTCTAGATAATACCGCTTAGTCGGCTCGCCATGCCCCCAAACAACCGCCCATAGCGTAGCGCAATCAGATGGTGTTAAGAACTTTATATGTATACAGAGTATAATGCTTGTAAAGCAAATTGTGAATAAAGCAAAAGAAGAAAATTGAAAAATTGAAAAGTTGCAATCAAAACCAAACGAATGAAATCAAAATACCGAAGACAAGTGACAAAACCCACACGCAAGAAACAAGAACAACAACAACAGCAGCAGCTGCTGCAGCAACAACAACATAAACAACACAACAAGAAAAAGAAGAAGAATAAGAACTAAATAACACACACCAAAATGACTGGAAGTCTCAGCAACAAAATGGCACTGGGCAAATCCATCAAAATGTACCTGACCATATTCGTAGCCACGACCTGCATCTATATGCTGCTCTATCAATATCATATGTCCCGACCGCCGCTGGCCAGCAATGAGGTCGTCAAGGTTAGTGACCATATTCTCTGTCAAATTGATGGAAAGTTATACTTATATATATGGAGAAAGATGAATGAGAAAGGGAGAGAGAGGTTTATAGATAACTTTATTGATAAGAGTCAGCACCAATCGGTTTTCCATGTTCCATGTGCCCTTGACAAGCTCGCAAGTTCGTGTAAACTAAGTAGTAAAAGCAAGCCGACAATGACCGGTAGATAACTATACTTATATAGATGCACTTTCCACTAGATTTAGTAAATATATGCGCACTTTGATTGCATCCATTCCATACACTAAGTAGGTAATCTAGATTGCATGCTTTTTAATAAAAAATTCTACTTATATATAGATAGATCTATAGATAAAGCTAAAGTCAAAAAAAAATATATATTTTAAAAGTAAAGATATGATGAGTTTCTATGATTTCGAATGTCTAGAGTATAGAGAAGTAGCGATAAGTTATGCATATATATAAAGCGGAATTTATAGAAATTTAAGAAATTTAAGATTAATACTGAAAATCAGAGTTTTCCTTGGTACTCATAGCTTGAAACTCTTCTCTCTCAGCCAATCGACATTTTAAGATAAATTTGATAGTTAATTGTCTTGTTTTACTTTTGATTTACAAAGCATATTGCTTCTCTAATAGCTTCTTTCTGCAGTTAAAAATTGTAGATGAAATAAAAATAAGAAAAGAAAAATTGTATTAATTATTTTTCAATTATTTAATAAATATTTTGTTAGGCTGAACTTTTAGACGAGCTATGCAAGCAAGAATATAATATAATATACGAAATTTCTACTATTTTAAGAAAATTTTAGTGCTATAATTAAAAAAAGCAGGAAACTTGTGTAATATAATTTCATTATTTATTCACGTAGTTCCATAGGAAAATCTATTTATATATATATTTATATTTATTTATAGACATAAAGTCATTTTAATATACATTAATTTAAGCATCAATCTCATGTGTGTCTTTTGTTCTTGTTCTTAAACACAATGCCTAACATCCAATATGCGTCAATGATGATGCAGCATCCAGAAAAAACATCATTACCATCATCATCATCATACATCGCTTCATATTTGTGGGCGCCCATGGTAAATAGCTCCGTCATAAATGCCACCATGGGAGTAGAACAGATACAGGTACATGGACAGGTACAGGTGCATGGACCAAATACCACTGACTCTTCCGCTCCTGCCTCCGCCTCAGTCTCTGCAGCAGCATCCGCGTCTAGCTCTGGGGCAACTCATTACTCGACGGTTTCATTGCCACAGGCATTGTCATCAGACGCCAATCTCAAAAGCATCGCTACAACTACAACAACAACAACAACAGTTGCTGCAACAGTACCAACCACAACAACGACAACGACAACATCAACAACTGAAAAACTAAAAACAACAATAGCCCAATCCAGCCACGCCCACAAATTAACGGGAAAAGCCGCTCATAAAATTCGCTCAACATTTGTTGCCGTCTCCGAGCCCGTAAATATTCCTTTAGCCATTTCTGTTTATAACAAAAATACACTACAAATATAAAATAAACTATCTCAATAATAAATTAATTTTAAGTCACATTTCCTTAGACATTTCTTGCAAAATGTTTTCCTTGCTCAGCTTTGCCTGCTTTTTCGTGTTTCGCATTCAACTGAGTTGCACAGTCTCGTCATGTATTCTACTCATCCATGTTTGTCTTTCAGTCTAGGGTATATGTAAATAGTTTACTTACACACACACACACACACACACACGTATAAATACATATATATATTTCTTGTGCTCATTTTTAATGGGAATTTTTGCACTTGTAAAATTTCCTGCAGCTGTCTGCATTCTGTTTGTTTCTGTTTCATTCTTGCCTTTACTTTACCTATTTTCCAATTTTCTTAATTGCTTTTTTAAGTTAACCCAACTGCGGGGCACAAGTGCGTTTCATGTGCAGTGCAAAGGGCAGTGTGAGTGGTGCGCGTGGCAACAGTTAACGTTACTTTCGAAGTTTACATCTTAGTTTCAGGGAAGTCTTGGTATCGAAATACTAAACTCTATTAAATTATCTAGTGTATATAATATAGTTATATAATTTATATTTCAATCAAAATTCAACTTTTAAATGCAAAATATTCGATTTTCAAATGTTGAATTTTAATAATACTTCTACTTTCAATAAAAATCCAAATTTTATTAAATATCTAAAAAACTTGTAGATAAAAAGGGCCGCAAATAGTGAATAATAAATATTAATATGTGCAGATATATATTTTACATTAATATAATTAACTATTTATGTTGTTAGGTAGACTTGGTTTATTCCTTTGGCATATATAATATATAAGAAGTTTGCAAGTTTCTTGGACAACTGATGACTAATAGAGCATTTAAGGAAAGTCATTCTAGAAAATAGCTTTTAGGTATATATCAAATGCTTCTTAACAATTTCGTTATACAAAAATGAAAAATATTTTATGAAGCTTTAAAATCTGCGAAATAAAAGTAGCAAAGGCTATATAGATGCTGTTTGAAAGTCGAATGAATTCACTTGCAAGTGTGAAAGCTAAGTGGAATGCTAATATATAACATTATTGTTATTACTATAATTCCTCCTTTATTCCTTCATAATGATTTCTCGTTGAGCAGCAATCGCGTCAAGTAAATTCATCGATCATTCAGCGCAAACATGATTATAATGATGATAATGATGAGCATTATGTGCTGATACTACATTCTACAAGTACTTCTATATCTACTCAGCCAGCTGCGTTTGCGAATATAATATATGTGCGTGCAGCTCGAAGCAGCTAGAAGCACACGCCCACCTTAATGGATTGATTGATGTTGTCTTTGTGTGCGTGTGTCTGTCTAACCAAATGTCCTTTCCGTAGATGTAGCCATATATACATTAGAAAACTCATTAGCAGTGTCCTCAACTGATGAGCACACACATTTCGTTTGTTTGTTTTGGTCTAATTGTTGTTAAGCATGAGTTAATAATCCGTTTCATAAGTGGTCGACTCCGACTAGCTATTAATGCACCTTTGTAGCTGCATTCGTGCATAAAGTGGGAAAGCAAATTGCTTTATTTGTTTAACCACTCGCATGTGTTATAAACTGCAGCAGCAGCTTGGCTTTTTAGGTTAATCAGTTGATATATTATATCAGATGGCACTCGCACGCCCACCGAATTATAGATAATATGCAAACAAACAGATTCTTATTATGAAATTTGCATGAGTCTAATTTGTAAATTGCTCATTGCGCATTGAAACCCGAAAGCCGAAACCGCGTACAGCAACAACAACAACAACAATTTGCCATTGAATGGCACCCAGCCGATGGGTGTTCCAGTTCTAGATGGTGGGCGCCGTTGTGTAGGGAGGTGTAGTGGTGTAGAGAGCTCCCACAATGATGATCCAGATTGTAAAATGCATTCTAAATGCAAGGCAATTGAAAAAGATTCGTGCATTTGTGGGTTTCTCGCTGTTAGCAGTTGCATGTATATGTGTATGTATGTGTATGTGTATCTATGTATGCTCTACAGTCAATGTCAAAGGCAGGCTCCATTACTTTGAGAATTGTTTCAATATCAGGTAGCTTGGGATATAGTAGATATAAATAAAATAGTCATGGTAAGAGAGATGATAATATGTAGATACTAATGAAAATGATAATACTGGTGATAAGGATAATGACTAATGATAATGATAATACTAATGATAATGTTCATACTAATGATAATGACCAATGACTAATGAGAATGTTAATACCAATGATTGTGACTGATGATAATGATAAAATTCATGATAATAATAATACTGATGATAATGATAATGACTAATGATATTGTTCATACTAATGATAATGACCAATGACTAATGAGAATGTTAATACCAATGATAGTGTCTGATGATAATGATAAAATTGATGATAATGATAATACTGATGATAATGATAATGACTTAATGATAATGACTAATGAGAATGAGCATACTAATGATAATGACCAATGACTAATGAGAATGTTAATACCAATGATAGTGTCTGATGATAATGATAAAATTCATGATAATGATAATACTGATGATAATGATAATGACTTAATGATAATGACTAATGAGAATGAGCATACTAATGATAATGACCAATGACTAATGAGAATGTTAATACCAATGATTGTGACTGATGATAATGATAAAATTCATGATAATGATAATACTGATGATAATGATAATGACTAATGACAATGAAAATACTAATGAGAATGATCATGACTAATGGCAATTGATAAATTTAATACCAATGATAATGACTAATGATAATGATAATACTAATGAGAATGTTAACGAGTAATGATAATGATAATACTAATGATAATGACTAATAATAATGATAATATTAATTATCATGACTAATGATAATGACAATACTGATGATAATGATAATACTGATGATAATGATAATGATAATACCAATGATAATACTAATGATAATGAATAATCATAATGACTACTGATAATGGTAACACAAATGAGAATGTCTAATGATAGTGCTAATACGAATGGCAATCAGTAATAATGATTTTGATTATAAATACAAGAATTAGAAAACTAATGATAATGACAATACTGATGATAATGATAATGACTATTGCTAATGATAATACCAATGATAATGCTAATGATAATGACTAATGATAATGATAACCCCAATGAGAATGACTATCAGCTATCAGTAATAATGTTTACGATTATAAATAGAATTAGAAAACTAATGATAATGGTAATACTGATGATTATGATAATGGTGATGGCATTGGTAATCACAATAAATGAAAGATAATACTAATCATATTGCCATTCATAATAATGAATAATAATTTGACTGATAAAGATATTCAAAATAATGTAGTAATCCGAAGCTAATAATAATAATATAAATGATTTTAATGATAGTATTAGCTGAACAATAGGTCCAGTTACATAATATTCTATGCCAGTAGCCATAAAGGCGTCCAATAGCAAGTGAAATAGAGCTTAGGACATGAACTTGGTGTGTTCTGGTTGCTCAAATGCAAATTGTGTGTGCCACATTCTCGGTGGCAACTACTTTACATGCAATTCTATTATTATTTTTTGTGCTTTTTTTATTTTTTTGAATTGGTTTTCTCTGCTTCAGTGCCCTTTTATTTATTTGAATGTCTTTGTTTATTTTTGCAAATAAATTTGAATGCATTTTGTGTGTCAACAATGGACAATTTGCAAAGTGCGCGACGTCTATATTTATTTGGCACACCAACAGCACCAGCTGTGTGTCTGCCTCTCTGTGTGTGTGCGTGTGTGTGTGTGTGGCATTTGAGTGGCCTGCTTAAAGTACAGCGGGTTATCCAACACGCAGCTAAACCCGGTCAACTAGTTCCAACTATTCAACTAGTTAACTGCTAGCCTGTGGATTAATTTGCATAATTGCTCATAAAGCGGGAGCTCACGCCGCGTTACGCATGTAAACACTCACACACACACACACGCACACTGACAGGCACACAGATAGATACGCTTTTATATATAATAATAGATAATAGAGTATAGAGCCTCGTTGGCATTATGTTAATAGCTCAACTCTTGCCCATCTTAGCCGCCATTGTACATCATCACGCCCACTTATCGACGCCCCGAACAGCTGGCGGAGCTGACACGACTCGGCTATACACTGAAGCATGTGCTCAACCTGCTCTGGCTGGTCATTGAGGATGCGAACAAGACAAACCCTTTGGTCGCCCACACCCTGGATCGCATTGGCGTGCCCTACGAGTACCTGGTCGGTGAGTATTGCCACTAACAGCAAGGCCTGGCATCCATTTGCTACGTATTAACGACCCCGCCTCCACAGCGCCCATGCCCGAGCAGTATAAGCACACTAAGAAGGCCAAGCCCCGCGGTGTCTCCAATAGGAATCGTGGGCTCGATTATTTGCGCGCCAATGCCACCGAGGGCGTACTGTACTTTGCCGACGATGATAACACCTACGATGTTAACATATTTGAGCAGGTGTGTAAAGGTCATCGTGGCTAAACGTACAAATTAAATGCACTCGAATAGCCTTTGACACATTAATAATAATAATGAATATTATCATGGAATACATGAGCAGTTGATAGGTGAGGCCGAGGCAGCGAGACTAGTCATTCTTTTAGTTAAGTACTTCCTTTCTATGCGATATTTATGACCTCATGGTTAATGGTTTCTTTTAAGTTAATTGGATAAGTTATTTGAAATATATTTCATATTGACTCATAGGAAAGCATTCATTACACTGATTAAAGTTAATTAAAGTTGCTAATTCGAACTTTTCTAATATTGAAAATCGCATAGAAAGGCGCTGTTTATATATATGAAAGCGTAGGTAAGAAGGATAGATGGACGCAGCCTTTTGAAGCACTAGAAGTTGGCATGAATTGGGCAAGAGTGTTCCTCCCTCGCAAATTCTTTATACTTATTTGAGCACAATTTACTGCAGATGCGCTATACCAAAAAGGTGTCCATGTGGCCCGTGGGCCTGGTGACCAAGACCGGTGTCAGCAGTCCCATAATACGTGGGGGCAAACTGGATGGCTACTACGATGGCTGGATAGGTGGACGCAAGTATCCTGTCGATATGGCTGGGTTTGCGGTGAGCGTTAAGTTCCTGCTCGAACGGCCAAATGCGAAGATGCCCTTCAAGCCCGGCTATGAGGAGGATGGCTTTCTGCGCAGCCTGGCGCCTTTGGTGAATAGCGAAATTGAGCTGCTCGCAGACGAGTGCCGGGACGTAAGTACGAGTCAAACTATGCCTTAGACGGCTAAATAACATACGCCCACTATTTCATCTTCTCAGATACTCACCTGGCATACGCAGACGAAAAAGAATCCAGCCGCGCAGCCCTTCAACGTGACGCGCTATGGAAATACGAATTTGGCTTATATTGAGAAGTTGCTGGTGCGACCGTAGGAGCAGGAGCCCCCAGTTTGTCCAAGTGTAGTAGTTAGCCCTAGATAGGTATTAATATGCGATTACGATTGTGTACGCAGCGAGTGAGCTCACAAAGTGTCCGCGACTTTGAACCAGTTGTACAGGTACAATCCTGTGTTTGAGTCGTCCCTCTCTATATATATGAATACCGACTATCGCTAGTTTTGCACAGAGTATATATACCCTGTAAAATATGAGTAGACATAGACGCATACACATATTAATGTAACTTAGTTAGGCTCTAAGCGCACAAGTTTATACGATATTTGAACATATGGCCAAGGCCTTTATTGGTTACAGCTGCACACACTAAATACCTTTTAGTATTGTATTTTATAATGTCCTCAAGCTAAATACTATATAATATATATTATTATATATTTATATATATATTGTACAGATTTGCAATACACACGAAGCGAGGCTTAGGCCGCAACTCAATTTAAGACGATGAATTCTTTTGATAAGCGAAAAGTATTTAAGTGCATTACTTTATGAAAGACAACAGCCTCTATGTTTAAGCTTTAGTTGATAAGGTTCAATGTTCTCCAATCCAAGTATGATAATTCGTTAAAAGCAAAGCACTCACCACAATATACACTTTATGGTTTCTGTTCCTAATATAGTATATGCTACTATACTTTTGTTTAATTTAACTAAAGTTGACTGCGATTTTTGATTTATGAATATGCTGTACTTTGGTTATCCGATATTCAAATATTATTTACTCAAATGCTGTGTTAATCGTTTCCAATGTAAAAGAGTTCAAGGCCCACTTGGCTGATTGGAAGCAGGGTATGGGGCCAAAGTCGGGCCAAGTGTTTATTTATACAGAGCCCATTCGATATGCAAACAAACAGCAGCTAAAATGTGGGCCGCAACCATTTCAATAATGCACGCCGACAGACAGTCAGTCGGCCAGTCACTACCAGATAAAGAAGTGCCCGATGATTTGGTCACATGGTCGGTCTGATGGGAGCGCGAAACTTAAATCGCGTGTCAACTGATACCGTGGCTAATGGCAATTGAACAAGCAAAAGCTGCAAATAGTTTGAAGACTTCAGATAATAGTCTTGCTGATGGAATTCAATTACAAAAAGTGGTAAAAAGAAAAACAAACAATATAAAAACATGAAACAGAAGAAATACAATTACGAAAGAAAAACATTTAATTGCGAATTCTCTTACTTTCTTTCCAAAACAAGTTCCAAATTGAAACTTTATGTAAATACAGAGCTATCGAGTCATTGAGCAATGGTATTATATATAAAAAAAAAGAAATAACGAAATAACTCTAAAATTTATAGATACACTTAAACGATACTTAGTTAGGAACTTACCAAATCTTTAAATTTAATAATAATTATAAACTAATCTCAAGGGTAAAAGATCTTCGTGAATTGTTATGGCAACCAAACTAAAATATTCTTATAAATTCTTTAAACCATATATATATAGTTATATATATATATATTATACAAAATATTCTCGACTATTTCAAACTTTAAATACAATTACAAAACCAATCTACAATTACGACTAAACTCTATTCTCCTACTCAAAAAAACATAAGATAAAACTCGTTTTCTAATAAACAAATTATAAACAGTAAACTCTGGTAAACGGATAACAAGGAACTTCAATCATTTTTATGCAACATTTAATAAAAAACACATATTTCTTAAATATTTAAAATATAAATTAAATACTAAGCAAAACACAAACTTTTATTTGTCAAGGGGGAATTATCGTACTGAGACGTCTTCTAAAAATGTTGAAAATATTTTTAAAGTCTACTTTTTGGGATGCTTCCCTAATCGAAATTCTATCTAGAAATTCACTAGAATTTCAACTTCTTCAAGAATTATATGCATTATATATATTATATAGTTTGACATTTATTAAAGTTTAACAAATTTTTGATGATATTTTTATGTTTGATTAGTTTAATTTAAGTGCATTGGAGACTTTTGAAGCATGTTGGTGTTACATAATTTGCATAGATATGTCGACTCTAGTGGCTCCAGGCGGCAACTGGTTGAGTGTTGAGCTCCAGCGATCGCTTTCTTTTGCAGAGAGGCCTCAGTAACATTTCTAAGCAGGCATATTTGTCAACAGTATCTAGAATTGTTTTCTGTTTTAATTTTTGTTTTTCTTTTTTTGTGTTTAACAAATTTGCCCGTTGTTGATGTTTTTTTCTGATACTTTTTATGATACTCGAAATATTTTACGTGTATTTACCATCGCTGTTTGAGAATTTCGTTTCGAATTACGTTTCGATATCTTTTTATATCTTTTTCAAATACCCATTCGCAATATTTAAATTACAGCAACAGTAGACGGATTCTATGTCAACTAGGTGCAAGATATAAAACTAGAGTCATCGTGCAACATGTTCAACTAGAAAGCTTACAAGTCAAGGCACTAGCTAACTATACTAGAACATAACTACGTTTTGATATAGATTTATGATCGATAAAAACTAAGATAAGAGTTCACAAAAGTTGAGCTTAGCTTAGATCTTCTTAGAATCATTGGAGTACAGACAACGTTTGAGTTTAATAGATCCTATAATGAATATAAAATTTAATTATTCAGAAACACTTAAGCAGAACTAAAAGTTTCTAGATCTGAAACTAATATTTCACATATGCTCTCGTTTGTATGTGTTTGGGGTCTACATAGATAAGCAGTGAGACTAGAGATGCTCATAGGCGTTATAGGAAAGGCTTTAAGAATATTCTTGAATGCTTACGGTTCGTAGTTTGCAGAGACTTACTTGGCTGGCTGTGAAAAGTTAACGTCAACTTCTCTCCAGATATATATATATTAATATATACATATATATATGTACTGGTAGAGTTATAGGAATCATTTGGTTGAGTGCATTTACTCGTGGAGAGTTGTGTATTGGTCATTCGCCAAGAAAGTCGATTTATATCATAGATTCAAGAGACAACGTAACAAGCTAGATGCACTGCCTTAGTGAGTCACTGCTCTATATAAATATAATTTTTGATTGCAGTTAAATATAAGACCAGAAAGGTTATATAAGAATTGCTTTGATTATTGGATTATTGGATTATTTGCTGTTCGAAATGTGGTTCTACTGTGTGGTACTAAAAAGATAACTCAACATCGATGGCTGCACGTGAAAGCTTATAGTTGCCTCTTCCCACTTGGTATGAATCAAACGCTGCAATGGCGTGTTGAGCGTTGACTCCTCCTTGGCGACCACATCGTTGCCAGCGCTAGCGCCACTAGCAGCACCACCAACACCACCGCCGCTAGCGCCAGCCACACCAACACCGGCAGCAGCAACTCCACCGGCCGTGATTGCCTCATCTTTGGCCTGTTTGCCAACTGTTTGCGAGCTGCTCTCCGGTGTGATTGGTTGTCGCTCCAACATGACCAATGCCTGCTCATTGTAGGTGCGATTGTCGATTGTCATCAGTATCTGATGACCCGAACAGCTATAATAATTCACATCGAAACGTGACTCGGCATGATAATTCCTCAACAGATCCGGATTACGATTGAATATAACGCCGTAGTGCCCCGTGCAGCTGGTTATCCAGATGGGATAGTTCGGCGTCTTCAAGCGAGACCCCGGTTGCCGTGACTGATTGACAGCAGCCTAGCGCAATGATAGAAGTTGATTAGCTACTTCAATAGCTCCATTCCCCTTCTACCTACACTTGCAGATTCTATGTCCCAGAGCAGCAGCCCAATCATGCAACGCTTCAGTACTCCATACTGTGCCACAGCCTGAAATGAAAAAAGCAAAGCAATGCAAATCTTGAGCAAAGCTCTAGATTAGCGATCCTTCTGCTCACATAGCTGTTCTCATCGCCCACGTTGATAACGCCATTGTGTATATAGGGCGTGGCACGCCCGGTCAATAATAAGGTGACAATCATCAATGAGCCCTCCTCATGGTTGCCCATGGTCAAAGGCGACGACTTAGTCGAATCCAGATCCGTGCGTACTCTGAATGGGTCGCATTAAAAAGAGTAATAGATGGGATTATAAAAACTCTTTTATATACATTGGGATCGAATATTTAAGGGCATAAAGTACGCTCGCGTTAGCTAAAATCTTACTTTCCCATTGAGCGTGTGAGTACAGCGCTATAGAGAAACAGCAGAGTGCCCGGGGTTTCCTCTTCTGTAAACTTTTAAACGGCATTAGTCAAACGTACTAAATAAATGTGCATTTAGAGTAAAATCAGTTTAAGCTATGGAAATTGTTTCTAACTTGATTCTTTAACAATTTCCTTAACTTGATTTCTTACGTATTGAAAGTTTCGCTTCATAAAGTGCTCCAGTTCTTCGTTGGGCGAGAGCGTAAAGGTGTACAGCTGAAATAAAAATAATAAAATATCTATAATAAAACTAAAGAAATAAATAATAACAAATAATAGTTTAATACAATTTTTTAAAAATAATAAAAGTATATCTGATACAAAGAAAGAGATAAATAAATAAATATTTATATAAATCATATAATGATGTGACTTAAAATCGAAGGGAATAATAAAAGAGTGCTCACAAAAATGTGTAAAGATTTTTTAAATTTATAATTTTATATTTTAAATATTATTTTAAGTAGGCTATTTCAGTAACAAATGGTAAAAATAAATAAATAATTCAATAAGTTTGAGAAGTTAAGGTTTTTGACTTAAATTTTGTATATTTTATAATTTTAATTTTAAATTTCAAATTGCTGTCGTACCTTCCATTCAATTATTCAAATTTCTTTTTAAATAAAAAGAATAATTTAATTTTAAATGAGAACTTAAATTAGATTTAATTTAATATGTGTAAAAGCTATTGCTTAGCTAGAAAGTTTTTCAGTTATTTAATTTTTATGTTTTGAAAATTTTAATTTTAAATTTATATTAAATAAGGAATAAAAAAAAATGAAATTTGTAATCTACAAATTTATTTTTAATTTAAATGAAATTTCGAATATTCCATTTTATAGATCACGAACTCTATTTAACATCTAAAAAAATATAAAAATTATAGTTCTAAATTAAATAAATTAAAAGTTTAACCATATTTTCAGGAGCTACTAGAAATCAATAGAATATTTGCCGAATTCCTTGTAATACTAAAAGATTTTAAGATATTTAATAACTGTTTAAATAGATTTGATGAAATAATGTCTTAAGCTTAATTTAATAAGCTTAAACCTTTATTAAATTCTATTTTTAATTTTTTAAATTTAAATTTGTAATTTAGATTATTTTCCCCAATTTCTTCATCCAATCACAGAAATCAATAGAATTGGGATTATGCAATCAAACAGGCTCACCTTTTCGGTCACCGTATCGTGAAAGTAGGTGGCACTGTGATCCACAAACACCTCGTCCTCAGAGGGCAGCACCATGGTAACCTTGCCCTTGTCCGATATAATGCGCAATATCTCAATTAAAGCATTGAAGAGCGCATCTCGCTGCATCTCAGCTGTGGCCATCAGCGGACTGCAAGGAAGCACGTGCTAATTAGTGGAATCAGTAGATTCACCTTGCTGCAGAGGACGCACTTGCTCGTGGCTGTGGCTCGGCTGGGTTTACGTGCAAACAGCAAATACTTCAATATGAAACCTTGGACCACGGACAGCATGCCACGCGTAGCATTCCTTGGAGAACGTAGTCCATAAGCCAGCTCCTCCTTCCCGGCAGCACCAAAGACAAAGGACGTCTGCAGCCACTCGGCACGCATGGGTATGCCCGCGGTGCCAAAGACCAGCTTTCGCAGTTCCTATTTAACAGGGATTAGGATTACCATTAGGGCAGAAGGATTGTCCTTTACCGTTGCCAATTCGCTGGTGATGGGCGTGCCGCCTTGCATGATAAACTCCTTGTTCATGGTGCTAATTGGTCTGGGCGCGTTTCCAGCTTTTTTGCTTTTCCGTTTAGCTAATTTTGATTTCCGCTCGAAAGAGACTTTTGCTTCGCTCCACGATTTGACTGCAAATGTGCTTCAGCTGGTATTTTACAGTTCGCTTCTAGGTTGAGATTTGCTTGACTGACTCACTGACTGACGGACTGACTGACTGCCAGACTGACTGACTGACTGATTGTCGACATTTCAGGCCTTTCACACTTCAACGTTGATTTTTAATTTCATATTTAGTCGTGGGTCGAGCAACAACAAGAACAACACGTCACGAACGATGGAACCTTAAATTGTGGAAGTCCTTTAAATACAATGGCAAAAATAAAGTTTGTCTGATTGAATTTTTATAGCTAACTGAATGGGCTGTACTGATCAATGCCATATATAAGGAGACACCTTAAGCAACCCCTTGAGGTACATCATTTTAAGTTGCTAGCTTCAGTCTAGGCTTGTATATTGTGTAATTAGTTTTTCAATAATATAGTAAAATGTAATTCTAATTATTTATGTAGTTTTAATATTATTAGAGCTGAGCATTTGTATATAAAATAAATTTTTTTAGTTTTAGCCCATTGTGCATTTTGATTCCGGCTTAGAGGACTTGGCTCACTCGTCTGTCAGTCAACGAAAGTAACTTTAAATGAAATTGAATTGAATTTAGTTCTGTGTGCTCCACGCGATATCCGATATGCTGCATACATACAAACATATGCCTGGAGAAGTGAAAGTAATATGGAATAAGAGAGATAGAGAGGGAGCGAGGGGAAGAAGTTGGGCGCCAAGATATTTTGGCATGTTTGAAGCCTGCCATGGCGGCCCGCACAACCGGAAATATGTAGTTGTTGACGCCCATTTGTGCCCATTTCGGGGTGGGGCGGGGGCTTGGAAGAACATATGTGTGCAGCTTAATAGTCGACATTACGAGTTATTTGAATGATGTGCACATGTCGCTGCAACTATTGTCTAGCTTTTGGCTGCTTAACAAGCAGATACTCTCTCTATTACATGAAAGCCATTCACAAATGATAGACAAGCATTGCAGCTCAGTTTAGTTCCCTTTTTCAGAGTATACAAATTTTTCTATGCATTATTTTATATTTTACAAATGTGAAAACCGTATCGATTAGCTGGTTAACGAGTTCTGTTTCGAGCTAACCTTGGAACATGTGTGTTTCAATTAAATTAGAAGTCATGTCCGTTAGAATGATAGCTTCAATTGGCTTTTATTATGACACCATTTGGAATAATTAAATGACATTACATGACTGACAAATTTAAAAAAAATTGGTGTTTTTTTAGAAATAATGTTAGATAGCAAATGCTATTGTCACTGGAATAAAGCACATTTCATCATAGTTCGCACATAAAATTGGAATCTTGGAGTCGGCTTTGTCTAATTCAACATTTGCTTTTCCTGATCCATAACGTCTTTTATTAAAGTCTTGGCGCTCTCTGGCGCTCTTCCCACCAGATATAAGAAATTTAAGTACCAATCAATTAGACGAATCTTAAAACCAGACACCCACAAGCAATATTCAAAGTAGATGCGGCGGGTTAACCAGGATAAATACGCCACCGGCGAGCGACTACTTTGATCATAGATAGAACGCTGTGCGCAGCGAGCCATGAGACGTGGTCTATCCACCACATCGCCGTGCATGTTGCTAATGGCGCGAACAATATTCAGGTTCCGACTAGAAGAAAATAATCAAAAATATTTATAATTAAGTTAGTTAAATGAGAACAATGCACCCACGTCACAAAGAGCAAGCAGCGCGGCATCTCCTTTAGGGTATTCATGATTATCTCAAACTGATGCTTGGCCACTTTCTGCATATAATCTATGTCCTGCTGCGTGAGTTTGCTGCGTATGCTTGGACCTTCAATTCCCACAGGCTGTTGGAACAGTACTGAAGCAAACTTCATATAATCGACAACTCGCATTTTATTTGCGGCAGCTTTCATTCTCATCTCATCTCGTTGAACAGTGGCCACCCAGAAGTCAGACAGAGCGATTCGCACACTACGTGGCAGGTGTTCATAAAGTCCATGATCGAGTATTACGATGTCCGCTTTGCCATTTTGTTGGTTTTTACGCAGAAATACTAAAGAACAAGAGAGTTAGGTTTACGTTTGTGACAGTTGAGTTTGTTTGGTTACCCACTGTTGCCGGGATGAGGATCCGCATGGACAAAGCCCGACTTAAAGATTTGCTCGGCAAACATTATAAACAGTTTACGATCGACGTCTATTAGGCTAAGGCCTAGCTTCTTAATGCCCTCAATGTCGCTCACTTTAATGCCATCAATCCATTCCAAGGTCAGCACACGCTGCATTATTATATTATGCTATTAAATAATCAATGTTCTATAGAAAACAAATAATTCTTACTCTCATGGTGAGTCCCCAATAGACTTTGGGCACATGCACGTAGGTCAGCTTGCGAAGATCCTTGGCACAGCGCTCTGCGTTTCTAGCCTCTTGCTCAAAGTTCAACTCTTGAACAAGATTCTTGCGGAGATCCCTCATTATCCAACCGAAATTATAGTCTTTAAAAATTAACTCAACTATGTCCTGCAGAAAGATAATCGTAGCCAAGTCGCTGATAAAACGCTTCTGTAAATCGCTATACTGCACTTTCACAGCCACCTGCTGTCCAGTATGCAGCCTCGCTTTGAAGACCTGCGCCAAGCTGGCCGCTGCAACAGGCGTGTAATCAAATTCTTTGTAAATCTCCTCGGGTAGTTTACCAAAATCGGTTTGAAACACTTTCTGTATATCCGCCTTTGTTGTTGGAAGGCATTGGTCCTGAAGCTTTGCCAACGTTTGAGTGTATTCAACTGGCAATATATGATTGATGGCCGCAAATCCTTGACCCACTTTTATGTAGAGACCACCGTTTAGCAGGCACGTTTCCAATAAGCGGTTCGCACTGTTTTGGTGCACCAATTTTATGTTCTGCTCATAGGCTGGATCATTTTTGTCCAGCCCCAAATAATCTACGGCTATCAGTGTAGCTGTCTTCAGTGACCTCACGAAGCGCACAAATGATCCACAGTATGTGAAGTCGTTGACAACGCCATCGTAGCCAACGGCGCAGACACCAGCGACTAGAGCTCCCAGTCTTACGTACGACACATTACGCCATTTGAATTGGGATTTAATTTTATGCTGGTCTCCGGAACGCTTGCTGTGGAATTGTTTAGACACCAACAACTGTCTGAAAGCATTTCGTAGTATCTAAAATCACATTTTTAAACAATAAATCACTGTTTTTATAAATATACCGCCTAATCACTTACAGGTGTCTGTTGCATTTGTAACATCATTTTATTGGAAGTGTTGGCGAACAGCTGTTTACCTCATATCTGCAGTAACAGCATAACTGAAACAATGTCAATTACAGTAACAATGAATTTTAAATAATTGAATCTATATTTAATTATTTAACTATCTTTCTTTGCAGTCTTTTGATTGAAACATGATTTAAAATATCTATTTGTATTATATTTTGATCAATGTGTCTGTATTTGAATTAGTTTGATAGCTATCGAACATGTAAAACTATACTGGTATATTGAGCAACTATCGATGAATATGCAATTAACTTAAATTCACATGTACAGATTCAAGTATTTAGAGCTACTAACTTGACTTGAGAAGCTATAATTGCACTAAAATATAGTTTTTGTACGTTTACTGACCTTCTCTCATTGATAGAAATATGTATGTCATTTAATTTGCCCGCCAGTCCTATTTACTTGTGTATAGGTGTATTTCTATCGGTATTCAAAAACTATCGAACCGATAACGTTTTAGAGCTGTCAGCTCTTTTAAACAAATTATTTTAAATAGTTTATGTACACCATTACGCAAAATGATGATCAGTGCTATATTTAAGTAAGATAAAATGAATAATTCATAATTTGTTTAATTTAAATGTGCTTATGTGACTACCAGCTGCTTGCATATGAAATTCCGCATAAGGTGACATCTCTATGATTTGTGTATACGAACGCCGCTTTGTTTGTTTCGCCGACAGCCGACATATTCAGTTCTTTTTATAGCGTGTTACTTAAAACAAAAATAAATTGTTTATCTTAGCAATACAGACGGTGAGAAAGAGCGTGACTCGCTTGTTTACATTAAGTGGTACATACCAAAAGCCATGTCGGGCACCATACTCGAAAATTTAAGCGGACGCAAGCTGTCCATATTGGTCAGCAGCCTGCTGCTCTGTCAAGTAGCTTGCTTCCTGATTGGTGGCTTGTATGCACCTGTACCCGCTGGCCATCAGATTGTGATGGGCATCAAATGCCGAGATGTTGCTGGACGTCAGAATGACACCGGCTTTTTTCTGTACTCCCGAGGTAATGGCGCTTGCGACTCTGTTCAGGATACAGACATCGAGCTGGATCCATTGAAGATGGCCAATCAATTGGTTTATGTGTTTCAAATGCCGCTGCCACGAGACAATCGCACATTGGACTATTCCCGCTGGCAGCAGAATCTCATTGGAGTGCTGCAGATGGACATTGCATACGACTCCTCCTCGGAGTTGCGAGAGCCCCCTAAAGAACTTCAATTGACAATTGACACACGGCTGGCGTATCGCAACAAGAACGACGCAGATGCAGATTGGAAGCCATATGCGCACAGCATTGAGAAGCGCTTCTTGGATTGCCGTGCAGCACACATTGGCGTTCAGGAAATACTCTACACTTGCGATATAATCCCATTATTTGAGCTGGGTGCATTACATCATAGTTTCTATCTTCTTAATTTGCGCTTCCCAATGGACACGCCAAAGCGGATAAATCTCCAGTTCGGCCACATGCATGATATCATATTGACAGCAATACATCAAAATGGGGGCTTCACAAAAGTCTGGCTATTGCTTAAGACCTTGCTCTTTCCCTTTATAATCGGCATAATGGTCTGGTTTTGGAGACGTGTCCACATACTCCAACGCTCTCCTGCGCTGCTGGAATATATGCTGTTGTATCTGGGCGGTGCTCTCAGCTTCTTAAATTTGCCATTGGAATACCTTACACTCAGCTTTGTGATGCCATACATGCTGCTACTAAGCGATGTGCGCCAGGGCATCTTCTATGCGATGCTCCTATCCTTCTGGCTGGTCTTTGCCGGCGAGCATATGCTGATACAGGATTCGCCCAATAAGTCGACCATACGCTCACGCTACTGGAAGCATCTTTCTGCAGTTGTTGTCGGTTGCATTTCGCTCTTTGTGTTTGACATTTGTGAGCGAGGAATGCAGTTGCGGAATCCCTTCTACTCCATCTGGACAACGCCATTGGGCGCCAAAGTGGCCATGAGTTTCATTGTGCTTGCCGGCGTCTCGGCTGCCATTTACTTTCTTTTCCTTTGCTACATGGTCTGGAAGGTCTTCAAGGACATTGGCGACAAACGCACATCGCTGCCATCCATGTCCCAAGCACGTCGACTGCACTATGAGGGTAAGTCGATAGTTAATAGCTAAAGTAAAAGCAACCTTAATCGACCACTTAAAGTAGAAATGTGTTCGAGATGTTTGCTTGCTGCTGCTTCCTCTTACCAGAGTTTTCACTGAATATCCCAAACATAAATTTCATAACAAAAGTTATCAAACAGTAGGCTATATTATACTACATTTGATTGAGTAAATAATGGGATCAGTTCAGTAGGATATTGTATAGTACTTGCATGTGTTATAAATATTTTAAAAAATGTCTCGCAGTCCAGAAGCGACAATGGATCAGCCGGTTTACGCCTGCTTCTTCAGTGTGATGGGGATTACCGCGGCAATTGTCTTCACGACTCTGGGAGCAGCTTATGGAACGGCTAAGTCATCTTTGGGCATTGCCTCGATGTCGATAAAACATCCGGAACTGATAATGAAAGCGATTATACCAGTTGTTATGGCTGGCATAATTGCTATCTATGGTCTGGTTGTCGCTGTTCTACTGGCCGGCTCGTTGTCCCCACTGTACAGCACCTTTAGAGCCTTCCTCAATTTGGGCGCTGGCATTGCTGTTGGTCTCTCGGGACTGGCTTCTGGCTTTGCCATTGGAATTGTGGGCGACGCCGGCGTCCGTGCTGCTGCGATGCAGCCGAAACTTTTTGTTGGCATCGTTTTAATTCTCATCTTTGCCGAAGTCTTGGGTCTCTATGGCCTAATTGTGGCCATCTACTTATTTACCAAGTAACACGAACGAAGAATTAAAGAATAATTTATAGTTTTATTATAACTTTGTTGAACGTAATCTCTATGTTATAGTCTACATTTGGAAGTTTTGTCTTTTGTAGGTCTTATCTACCGCTTCAAATTCCTTATGCTGGCCACTTTGCTGTGCGCTGGCTTAACCGTCGCCGGCTTTATTATGGGTCAGATGGCCGAAGGACATTGGAAATGGAATGAGGATATTGAAATACAGCTGACCTCTGCTTTTCTCACTGGCGTCTATGGCATGTGGAACATCTACATCTTTGCCCTCATCATCTTGTATGCTCCGAGTCACAAGCAATGGCCGACGATGCGTCACAGCGACGAAACAACTCAATCTAATGAGAATATTGTTGCCTCTGCTGCTAGCGAGGAAATCGAATTTAACAATCTGCCCTCCGATTCGAACCCAAGTGAGATCTCATCACTCACCTCCTTCACACGGAAGGTGGCCTTCGACTAAGAGCTTGCCGAGTTTTATAATTTTCCGTTGTGTGCCAAACTATTTCTAAGATAAGCGTTTGGCGAGCGAACAACGCGCTTCATTAGTATTATAGTTTCCAGTAACAATTCTTGCCTAGTTTTTGCATTTTACAAAATATAGTTATATATATATATTGATATTACTCATTAGCATCCATAAATGTATTTTTATAGAATTTTCTCTGCATGCTCAAAGTCCAAGTCCAAATTTTTAACTGATATTTGTAGTAAATGCGTGTACTTATTTATTTTTGTCTTTATGCCTCGGCAGTATTATCTATATATGGAAAACTTTTTAACTAGCCTTTAAGAGACTCTATAATCGAACTTTTTGGGTGCTTATGGTTGCATGCACAACAATTAAACACAACATTGAGATATATATTATATACATACAACCAATATCAAATCTTGTCAACTGTCAATCGTAGAGCAATTTCTTACTCCATTAGTAATTCAAATGAATAAAGAAAAGCAATATTAAAATCAGTTTCACTTTCTACCATATGATTCGCTGCGGTGTACGGTAATTTTTCCAATAAAATTCTTTTGTTAAGTACACGTAGAACGTAACCACATTCAGGAGTAAATTTACGCCCAGCTCTAGCCACTCGGCAAAGCCCTTGCGTGCGGGTCGTGTATGCAGTCGAAATATTATATATGGCACCAAGAAATATCGCACCTCGAGCAAACGCTGGAAGCACAACACCAACAGTAGAGCCAGCGGAAACATCAGCTTAAAGCTATCCGACATGTGCCTTAGCCCACAACATAGCAGGGTCACAGCAAGTAGATAAGCTGGCGCCATCGCATAGCGGAACCACCAGAAGCGGCCGTACAAGCGACTCCACACGTAGAAGGTGTAGTGACGATTGTCAGCTAGCAAATAGGGATGAACCACAGTATTGTAATGCACAATCGTAGCTATGAGCAATGTGGCCAGCAAGGAGAGCACTAAATGACGTCGCAGCAGTGTCAATGCCAGTCGCAATTGCCGCAGCGTGTTGGAGATACCGAAACCAACGGCAAAAACGGCAAAATAAAATAACTGCGGCAAATGTAGAGTAGCTTCATGAGCGCTCTTGTCGCCTACAACAATGGATCCATTGATGCAGATGAAGCCAATGAAGGGTAAAATAATAGAGGCGTAGAAGCAGCATTTGGCCAAAATACTTAAAATGATATTGCATATCAGTTGGGGGCTGCCTAGCACCTGTAGCCAAAGCTGTAAAAAAAAATTATACATTTATAAAATTGATATTAGTTTGTTTAGATATGGTTTCACACCTCGCTGCCAAATAGGCGTATCGATCGTTCATTGGCCGGGCAAGAGTTTTTGCCCTGCTGCACAACGGTGTCTAAAATAGTCATGCCACAGCACATGCATACCCAGACGATGTTGGTCTGGCGCATGAGCACACTCGCAGCACCACAAACAGCAGCTGGCAGATGCGCTTCTTGTTGCCAATAGTTGTAGAACAACAAGACCATAGTCAAAGCCAACGTGTCAGTATAGTACAAATGGCTGAAAAAGTATAGTGGAGGCAGCACCGACATTGTAATTGCCTCATGCGCTGCATAAGCATTGCCTCCTATGCCTGCCAGCGTTCGACGGCGTATTTTGTAGAGCAAGAGAATGTTGATACCAGCACCGATTAGGCTAAGCAGACGGAGACCCGTGACTGTGCAACAGTTGATCGGCTGCAGCACTAGCGCAATTAGATATAAGCCCGGAAAGGTGGTAATCTTGGAATCCCACTGTAATAATCGAAATTGCCACTTAATTAGATGATGTTGCTATGGTTATAGTTGCATTTACATACCACATCGAATTGTTTGCGACAGAAGGCCAAGCCCTGTGGGATGTGAAATTCTTCATCGATTATGTACTCGGCTGTGCCGTTTACCCGCAGAAACAGAGGCAACGAGTACAATACAAAGCCCACAGGCAGGACAACTTTCCAGGACAACGACATTTTCAGAGTGCCATTGATAAAAAATAACGAATTATTTTGTTTAGAATGGTTTGTTTATTTCTGCACGACGGCACCGGCTTATCTAAATAATGTTATCGGCTTGAAACTTATCGATACTTTAGTATTTTAATTTAGTACTATCAATAATACCAAAATATCGCATGAACAGGACTGTTATTTATTTACATCTGGCGCCAGAAATATTTTAATATAGACGCAGAATTTGTAGATTTTCAATGAAATTTTCGGCTCAAAACCCTGATGAATCTGTAAATGAGGATTGGTCCAATAATATTGAAAATAATTTTTAACACCCAATCCAGCTTCAGTTCAAGTGCCTGATGGTTTAATTGACTGCCGGATGAAGGATAAAGAAACGTCGAGTAGCATTTTACGTTAAGTTTGTTCCGTTTCCTCCCATTAGAAATCCATAACGTATTCAAACAACAAAGGATCCTGCTGGTATAGTAACAAATAAATAAAATCAAAACATTGCAAATTAGTTAAGACATTTCGAATTTTTAACCGGGTGAAGCTCCTTTAAAATCCTCAATGCTTAATGATTAAAGGGTTTAATTTATTTTTTATTGTTGCGGTAAGGACTGTCAACTATTTCACCTGTAGGCAAACGATAGCAACAGGTATTTGAGAAATGTGTTTCAGTATTCTTGAAGTGCTATAAAAAGTATGACATTTTCTAAGACCTTAAGCTTGGTCACATTGATTTAAAACAGCTGTTGCTTATATGTATAGATTCTGCGAGTTTATTCTATTTTGTTTATGTTTTTACTTTCGGTTTTGAAAGTATTTTGAAATGAGCAAAACTATTTTAGATCTAAATGACGACTGTATTGAGTATTTATTTAAGTATCTCCCGATCGATACTCACATGAGCTTTACAAGAGTTTGCACACGTTTCCGAAACGTTTGGCTGAACTATAGAAAATATATTTATTCTCGACTTGAACTTGGAGAAACAAACGCAGAAGGATTTCAACAGGAAATGATATTATTACGTCAAATAAGCGAACATGTAAAGCATATAACTATAAATATGAACAGGAATTTTGATTGGAGTGGAGTGCCTTTAGCACAGTTTATGACCAATCTAAGAAAAATGTCTGCACTTGAACGTGTTTTACTTTGGATTAAGGACAACGAATCACACAAGACATATGAATGTATTCTGCGAGCTCTTGAGCAATTGCCAAGGATAAAAGGAATTGCCACCTATCAAGATAGTTAGTTATTTATACGTACTCTAAATCATTGATATTTTTAACAACGCTCTCTTTCAGATAACGTTGTTGATAGCCTGTATCAGTTCAACGACTGCGAAAGCCTACTCAGGGAATCGGCACATAGTAGAGACCCCTTGATGGAGTTCATTGAAAACCATACGAAAATACGTGTATTGTTATTTAATAACGCTTCCATTCGCCCCACGCTCGAAGATCTTGTGCGGCACTCGACGTGTGTAAAGGAGCTCACATTTCGAATGACCCAAAAGGCTGCTGAGTACGTCCCTCTGGCTGAACTACCTGAGCTAAGGGAGCTACATATCTTTGCCAATAGGCAGCAACATGATTGCTGCCCTCTACTACCATTATTAGCTGCCATACAATGCAAGCTCTCACAGCAACTGCACACCTTAACGATCAATGCACCTGGAGTGGGTTATCCAGAAGCCTGTGAAATTGCACGTATAAGTAGTTTGCAGCGATTGGATTGCCATCTCACAGAGCCACTTTGCCTGCAAGCTTTGATTGCTCTCAATCAGCTCACGGACTTCTTCATACAGCTGCCAGAATGTAGTCCTATAGATGATCTGGTTTTAGATATACTCAAACATTGCCAAAAATTAAATGTTTTAAGAATAGATTTACCAAATTTAGGCTCAAATTTTCTTGCTGAGGCATATCAATTGCTACAGCAAGTACGAGATCCAACCAAGCAGAAGCCATTGATTCTAATGCTGGGCATTAATTGTACAAAATTAGACAAGGTAAGTTCAATCGGATTGAGTTAAGCTCAATGTTATTAATTCAAATTTTACTTGCAGAATATGAATTGTTATTTAAAGGTAATACGACAAGAATAAGAAGACTTCTGTTGATCTATTATATAATACTATTAGAGATCGATAGATAGAAAAATACAAATTAATATAGACTGTTATTTGAATGTCATGCGACAGGAATAAGCTGAAGTCAATAAATAAATTTCATAAATTAATATACTTTATTTAGTTTTGTTTGTTAGTTCATAGATTTGGAAAACCAATTAAGTATGAATTATTTTGTATTTATTAGTTTTTATTCGGCATAATTTTTGAATTTACATATTTCGAGCTTTAACATAGAATAATTTTTAACAAACAATACAACTTAATGACTACCAAGAATCCTTGCCCAGCTGCTCAACCTAAGAACTAAGACGCGCTCCTTTCAGCTTATAGGGCATGACAGAGCAGAACGATCAGCTCTATTCAATATATATATTTATAAGATTTATATTATTTATTTTTGTGTTCGTGTGTATGTGTAGATGTGGCTGAAGCTTTCAGTTGTCCTGATCATAACAAAAACTCCACCTTACGCATTCGTTGCTACTTGTTGACGCTGCGGTATATCATCGGAGCAGATCGATCGTTAGTCTTCGTGTGGCGCAACTTGATGGTGGCAAACTGAGAGGCGCTGCAAAGATGAACGAACATTGCGAGTAGAACATGGCAGCGCGCGAGCCAAGCTATGCTACTCTAGTTACTGCTAAAACAGAGCACTTACTATAGACTTCTTTATACAACATATACATAAGGGACACAGAGATTTGGAGACAGGGCTACTAAACAGCTTGTACAGTGTGGGTATTGTGTGGACTGTTTGTTATGGTGGAATACCATCTACGGGATTATAATTTGTGCTTGGCTTTCAGTAGCCCATGGAATAGTTGCGATAAATACCGCGTCTGCTGCAAATATACAAAATATATTTATTATATATTCCTTTCACTTCTGGGGTGTGCTAAAAGAATGTAACATGATGCAAGAGCTTATGACTAAAGCAAAAAAATAAGATATATATAGGTATATATAGTATATTTAAGTATATATGGTTTATGTGTTTATGTTTAGCTTAAAACTGTGCGTTATGCAAGGCACCAAAAAATGGAATTGCTCACACGCTGTGAACTTTTAAAGAGTAGTAAGCAGTCGGCGTTTGATGTTTGGAGCATAGTTCAACTTATCGTGATATAAAAGATATTTGGAAGCACTTGGAATTTTGAATTTTGAATTTTGAAATTTGTTAAAGGCACCTTTGATCAGATTAATAATTTGAGTTCCACAATAGAATATAATATATTCAGAGTTGACTTTGTTTCTAATGCTTCTCTGTGGCTTGAAACTTTGTTAGTGACTTCACATGCTCTCTTCAATCGCCGTCACGCTCGGCGCATTTTCTTCTCTGGTAAGAAAACGGCGAAACTACAAACTCCTTACATTGCCCGCTATTTGTTGCCCCTATCCCATTCCCCTGGTAACTATTTCAGCTTGGCGCTTGCAGACTTCTGACTGGTTATGCCGTGCTGCTCCTGATCCCAGAAATCGTACCACGGACCGTAGCTCTTATTGCCCACATGCGCTTTCAAATTACGCTCCAGTGTCGCGCTGCTGTTGATGTTGTTATTGATGTTGTTGATGTTGTGGCTGTTGTTGTTGTTGTTATTGTTGTTATTGCTGGAGGATGATTTGAGCAGGCGCGTGCGTGGCAGAATTGTGGCAGTTGGTGCACCGGCTCCATTAGCTGTGGTGTTGCGAGTCAGCGTGCTGTCCTGCTCCTTGGAGCTGGACTTCTTCAGCGTATTGGTCGCCAATGTGGATGTGGATGAGCGAAATGTGTGGAACTCCATTTGTTGCTGCTGCTGCTGTTGCTGATGATGATGCTGGCGTCTCAGCTTGTCGTCCTTGCGCACCAGATGATCATTGATCACGATGCAGTCATAGGGATCGGAGCTGGTGGACTTCAGCTCTGCCTCAGACTCATCCTCGCTGGTGTAGTACTGCTTGAGTATGTCCTTGCGCTTGAGCGTCTTCATGACCAGGCCGTGACTGCCAACGCCTCCTCCGCTGCCTGAATTGCCGCCTACGTCGTGCTGCATGTCATCGAAAAAGTTATTGACGTCGCTCATCTTCAACGTGCCATGATCATCGCTGTCGCCCTCATCTGTGGAGTGTGGGAACTGTTGCTGTTGCTGCTGCTGCGATGGCTTGGAACGGCTGAGCGTTTGGGTTTTGTGCTGCGGCGTGGAGGAGGCCAATGAGGCCGAGCCAGAGCCCTGTTTCTCTAGCTTGCGATGTCCATGGCTATAATCTGACTGCTGTTGCTGCTGGTGCTGGCTACGACGCATGGTGCTCAAACGCTCGTTCTCCGAGGGCTCCTCTATATCAATCTCAATCGTCTTCATGATCTTCATGCGTGACTTGGGCGTGTAGCCACTGCTTCTCTGCTGATGCTGCTGCTGTGCCTGTTGCTGTTGTTGTTGTTGTTTTTGTGGTGGCATAGCCGGACTCACTCCATAAATGTTCTCGTCATCATCGCCATAGAGCTCTGTGCTGGTGATGCTGTCCTTGCGGCCACGTTTCTCCTGCGACGAGCTGGAGTTTTGCGACTTGGTAAGCGTGCCATTGCCATTGCTGTTGCTGTTACTGTTGCTGTTGCTATGACTGTGACGCTCCCGATCCTCTTCGGAACGTACCTCATCACGCATGTCTTCCATATTGGGTGCTGCGACCAGATCGCGATGCTGCCAGAGCGACATGCCAGCTAGAATGTCCTCACTGCGTCCACCGCCAAACTTCCAGAAGGACTTGGTGCGCTTCAAGCCAGCACTGGAGGCCTGCAGAATCTCATCGTCCGAGGCAATCAAATCGTAACGCATTTTACCACCAACGCCACCGCCACTCTGGCGACTCAGCCGATTCAAACTCTTGTCATCGATCTGGCTATCCACGCTGTTGCGGAAATTACGATTCAGCGTCCACGAAGCCACGTCCCTGGGCACCGTGTGGGTATTGGTGTCCGCGCGTCGCCTTCGTGGTTTTATTTTTGTTGGTGGGTTAAGCGGATAGTCGTGGGTGCGGTTCGTGTGTGCGGGCGTGGTTAACACAAAGGATGCGACAATGATGAAGGGCAACAAAGTATATAATGATGATACATGAAATCAAAAGAACAATAAAAGAGCAAACGAACATAAATAAAGTACTTCGATAGCAATACAGAATATATATATTTGGATGAGGTGCGCAGATTAGTGACAACAGCAGTGAGTGTATAATGGTACAGACAGAAGCTATATATAGATACAAATATCTGCTGGTGGGGCATGGATAGTCATTCGATAAGCATATATTTTTAATAACTAATTAAGTTGGCTTCAATGCATTACGACTTAGCTACGCCATTAACTTAGCTATTGCGACAAAGAAAATTTCAGGATATTTTTTTTTTATATTTTAAAATTGTTTAAAATAAAAGATACAAATTTTAGAAATACAAAAAAAATATTTAAAAATTTCAGAATACATTTTTTTAAGATAAAAGATAAAAATTTTAGAAATACAAAAAAAAATATTTAAAAATTTCAGAATAATTTTTTTTTTAATTTAAAATTGTTTAAGATAATATATAAAAATTTTAGAAATAAAAAAAAAAATTTTAAAATTTCAGATTAATTTTTTTTTAATTTTAAAATTGTTTAAGACAAAATATAAAAATTTTAGAAATACAAAAAAAAAATATTTAAAAATTTCAGAATAAAAGTTTAAAGAAATACAAAAAAATGTTTCAAACAAAAATATTGGAAATTAAAAATGAAAACAAATAAAAAATAAATGTTATTCATATATTTGATATATAAAAGCAAAAGTCAAAGATAAAATAAAAAATAAATAATCCAAATAAAACTCTAAGTCTTGAATATTGATCCTACCAATGCACATAGATAACTTTGAGCTCATTCATTCCACTTACCGTATGGGCACGCGCTGCGTGGCCGGCTCCTCGTCGGAGTAATCCACCTCGGGTTGTGGCGGCGGCTCGTTGGCAAAGCCGCTGTCATTGCTGCTGTGCAGCGAAGTCTTAGCTGCCGCAGCGGACTTCGTGGACGGCTGGCTCATGGAGCTCTGCACAAGGAGAGCAATTATTGAAGAACAGTTAGGGCAATTCGATGTGCTCACCTGTGCGCCATTTAGCAGCTTCTGCTTGCGACGCTCCACGGCAGCTGGCACGCCGTTGGTAGCGCAGAAGCTCTGCGAACTGTTCAGCATGCGAGCACTCTGACTCTGGCCATTCGGGACTGGAGCGGGCAGCGTGGGCGGTGGACCAGGGCGCGGATTGGCTGCCGAGCCGGAGCGGTACTTCTTTTGCTGCTTGATGGTGTCGCCGAACATGCGCGTGGGCGAGGATTCCTCGGCGCTGTGATTGCGGCGGCGTCTGTACGTAGCATCGTTGTCCATCAGCTCCAGCTGCGCCTCGTATTGCTGCTGCTGTTGCTGTTGCTGCTCATGGTAACTGCGCAGACCGCTGCTACCGTAGCTCATGTGCATGTTCTCATAGCGTCGGCCGCTAGTAGGCGCCGGTTCCAGGCTCTCTGCATTGGTGTAGGCCACGGGGAACCAACCGAAATGCTGCGTGCGCAGATTCTCACCAAACTGCCAGCCCTTGGCCTTGCCGCCCACCAGCGCAATGCGATCGCCCTCCTCAAAGGACAGCTGATTCTCACCTGAAGGCATATAGGCGTACAATGCCTTGACCAGTGGACGCTGATCTCCGCGCTCCACCTCAGCAAGCGGCAGTTGCTCCTCAATTATTTTGTGTTTGCTGCCTGCAAGAGTGAAAGACAAGTGTCAATTCGCTGCATCGAGTATAGAGCAGGTGAGGCAATCTACCTGTCATGGGTCCAGCTCCAACCAGCGCCAAATTGAAGTCGGATTTGGCACGCGGCAAGGAATTCTGTCCATATAACGCTGATGCCGAGTGGCCTTCACGCTCGTGCAGAGTGCGCATATCTCCATAGGGGGCATCGATGCTGCGCGATTTCTTAAGCTGAGCGCCCAGGCCTTGGCTCTGCAACTGCTCATCATCAGCGTCTTTGATGCGCTCCTGGAGAGACGGACAGACAATCGTTAGCCAGCTAAGAGAGTTGTTAAGGCTGGGGGCTGGCACTTACCAGGCGCCTTGTGTTGCTGTTGCTGCTGCTGTAGCCGCTCTCGTATGCGGCCGGCGGTATTATCTCACGGGAAGCGGCAATTTCTTGCCAATTTTCGAAATTATTATCAATTACTGTTTTGCCGGTGGTGTGGTAGGCCATCCAGTGCTTGGCGATCGAGCACTGGCGTTCCAAGACGAAACCATAGCGACGACGCTCCTGTGTCATGGCCTGTGTGCGTACAAGAATTCTCACGAATAACTCCCAGGGGCCAAACAAAAGACTTAGGCAACGAACTTACATTCTTATAGCTCTGATCACAAAATATATCGAGTTTTTTCTTCTGATCCTCCAACAATTGCAGACTCTGAAACAACATTCGTGTGTTCGTTAAGCCAGTCGATGAGCTCATTGATATGTGGGCTATACTTACTCTCAGCTCCTTTTCCGTGTTCTCGGGCGTGGCCTTTTTCTTGCGTTGCTTCTTCATGGTTGAGACGGCCTTCTGGTAGCTCTCCATGCGCACTTTGTGCTGCTGCATGAACTTCTTCTGCTCATGCTGGACCACTTTTGTGTCCTTCTCCAAATTTGTCTCCAATGGCACCAATAGATCAACGTAGAAGGCTTTCAGCTAGAGGAAGAGGCAAGAAACATGTTTAAGGCAGATGCTCATTTTAGTCATATAGAGAAAATTAACATAAAAGCTATACTTGAAGCTATGAGAATCACAAAGAAAGGCGGGAAGTTAGAGGGGAATGTGATAGACCGACAATGAGTATGTCATTAGGGTGAGAGGGAGGAGAGTGAGGAGTGAGAGAGAGTGTGTGTGTGTGACTATGTGAGAGAGAATGGAAAAAGAGTTAGAGGGTGTGAAAGAGAGAGATAGAGAGAGTAGGAGTGAGTGTCTGTTGGAGCAAGTACGAGAGTGAGCATTAGACAGTCGTTTTCTGTGTATGAAAGAGAGAGGGAATGCCTTACAATGCGATTCTCATGAATTCACACACTACTTCAATTCTGCATTTATTTATATGATTCATCACGTTTGCCTTACTCACAATATTCATTTGCTGATCCTGAATCTCCTTGTTAACATTTACAACGCTCATCAAAGCTGAACCTGCATTGTATTAAAAATGCAGAGCACATATATATCGTTGATTAAATATAGGTCTCCACTCAATTGCATTCTTCCACTGTGTGGTCTTACCAATATCGCCCGTTCCGCTTTGTTGCGCGTTCATCGCAATCTTGGCCAATGCTTCATTGAATAGACGCGAGGCTGTTGCGGCACCTGTTGCATGGAATGGCACGAAATGCATTACAAATTAGTTAACTGCATATGCCCAGTTAAATATATGGTCTATATGATGATTACCGTGCAACGCCTTCAGGTAACTTTTGCCCGCTGCAATTAGCTGTCTGGCACCCGGATTGAATCTATCGAGTATATTCTGCAATTGAATAGATTAAAGCAAATGAATGTTAATCAATTAAAATATAATTTATGAGCTGCCATCGCATTCCTAACGACAGATCATTTAAGTCGACAATTATGCTTTGTTTTACTACCCTGTACGTATTCAAAGCGGGTATATATGTTGTGTGCCAAATATGTATGGCAAATAAACAAAAGACATAATTTTCTAAATTCTAAAAAGAAGCTTTCTGATATATTAAAAAATATGCAAATATATTCATATATTTAGAGTCCAATTTGATCAAAAATTAGGGATGCTAAACCATTAGTGCCAGTTCAGTACTCTACAGGGTACATGTCATGCGAGTGCCTTGCGTTAGATACATTAATGTTTCATTTAATTCCATGTCTCATATCACACGCTGTGCATTTCTTGCGAGCCTGTCTATCTGTCGTAATGGTTTTTCACGACTTGCTTCGGGTAGTAAAAGTTCGTTGTATAAGCCAAGCGCAATATACAAAAAGAAACATTGTTTTGGTCAACACAAAAGACATATACATCATTAGTTCCGCGTAAGCCGCCAGCAGCGACTGCAGAGAGTCGACACATGGAGTCGAGCCGAGTTAACTGCACCTGCGCATTGGCTAAGGCCATACAAATGGTGAATGGAATAGTTCGACTGGGCATATGCCACCACAGCACCTTAACGACAGTAATCTAGTCGGCATGTATTCACTGTAAGCGCATTGCGAAAGCTTTCTTCGTTCACATATTACTTTAATAATCCACATAAGCAGACAGATTAAAGTCAGATTAAAAAGTTGTATAAGCCAAACAAACACAAATCTGCTGTGAATTGGTATTTAATTAAGATTTCAATTTAATGCATGCGCAGCCTCACTTGAGCTCTGGGTGCTACAGATAATAGATAAAGTTTCTTCAGTCAAACAAACCCATTTACACTTGATCTGCACTTGAGTCGCCTTTGGTGCAATAGGAGAGGACTCAAATCACACTTTTGGTAAAAGTAAACAAATCTTAGAACTTAAGAAAATTGCATAGCCTTTTCAAAATGAAGTTCAATTTAACTATTTTTAAATTAAAAAATTTTAAATGAGCATTTTCTGTAAGCCATATATAAAATTATCAGATTCCATGCCTAAACTTACATAAATTTGAAGCAACATATATATAAAAATATATATTTATATTTATTATTATTTTATGCATATTTTAAAACACAAGCTAAAGACTTATTTTTATTTTTAATTTAAATATACTTTATATATATTATTTTAATAATATTTATTATTTATTATTATTTTATATATACTCAATATTTATATTATTTACAATAAACAAAATATTTTTTCTATGCATTATAATTTTAAATGTGGTTTATTTATTTTTTATTTATTTTTCTTTTATTCCATTTCATTATAAATATTTTTATTGTGTTTGATTTTATTTTTCATTCATACCACAAATCAAAAATGTATTATGAAAAATATAAAATAATTATTTTAAATCCATATAAAAATTACTTTTTGTTAAAATTTCTAAGTATTATTTATTAAATAATTTTTTATTTGTCATGTTTATTTTAATTAGCATTACTTACATTTATTGTGAATTCAAACTTTATATAATTTAAATTTAATATTTTACTTATTAATTTTTCTCTGCTTTTATCAATTCATTGTATTTGATCAATTCTTTGCTAAATATTTATTATTAGATTAATGACGGCATCAGAGAAGGCTGACAAAACAATTAATCTGCCGGTGAATCATGTAATCAATCAATAAAAATCTGCCAAGCTCACAGAAAAGTTAGATAACTTAAAGGCTCAATAAATAAGCACTTAAATAATAATGAATTAAGTACTTGTCGAAACGCTAGAGCCACAAATGCATTTGCATACAATAACAGGTGCAACTACACGTAGTTTCTCAGGTGACGTAAATTATTTGGTCATAGTGAAGTCGCAATGACATCAGCTCGAGCCGAACACAAGCAGAAGGGCAAAAACAAGAGCTCTATTTGGGCAGTCTACAGACCAATCCTGGGCTGGGCTCGGCTCTCTAAATTTGAAGACAATGCCGCAGCTCTGAATCGCTGACACGCAACAACACCTCAAAGCGCTGTGCATGACTCACAAAGCGCTTTATTGTCAGCCACTTGTCATGGACCACTCAGACCGAGGGAGCTGGCGAACCTGTTCAGCCATAATTAATTACGAGCCCCTTGATTATTGGAAACAGACATTTTTTGCTTAGAACTGAGTTCCTGACTGCCAAGCGAGCAGCACAAAAGAAAAGCACTCATAAGTCAATTGAGAGTACTCACCTGTACATTCCGAACGAAATGAAAACACAATTAGCAACAAACTGTCAAAAATTCAGAGCCAGGTACAAAACATAAATATTTTGCTTTACGAAAACAATTTCAGTTGTTGTATGCACCGAAAAAAAAAACAATGAATGTCAAATATTTGAGAGCCCAACATAAAGTCATATTTATACAGTTTTTGGTTTTTTTTTTCAATTTTATTTTTATTTGTTAAAAAATTTATTAGCCGCAAATCGCGGCATCGAGGCGTGGGAATGCCTGCACTCAAACTGAAACTCAAACTGAAACTGGAAATCAAACTTCACATAGACAAGGTCAGAGCGAGGCTTATACTATATACCTGCCATTTATTCGAGTGTTTACTTTCATGATTTATTTTAAGAGCAGTCCTATAGCAATTAAATGTTTAATTTGCATTCAGCTCGAATTTGTTTAATTAGTAAGCGAGTGCATGGCGAGTGAGCCAACCCTGACATAGGCTTAGCCATGCACTCAACTATCTGCGTCTCTGTGAATTGTTATGTATACATATATGAATATATGTATCTATGTATCTATGTATCTATGTATCTGTGTATCTATGTATCTATGTATCTATGCATCTATGCATCTATTTATCTATATATCTATATATCTATATATCTATATATCTATATATCTATATATCTATATATCTATATATCTATATATCTATATATCTATATATCTATATATCTATATATCTATATATCTATATATCTATATATCTATATATCTATATATCTATATATATATGTATCTTTATATTTATTTATCTGTCCATCTAAATAATTATGAGATATATTTCTGCACCTTCAACTTAGTGCCCGTGGTTTCTAGGGCTATTAAAAGATTGCATTTTGAAAGATTTGTTGCTTGGGAGATTAAAGTGGTTAGCGCAGCAATTGTGATTGGGTGTATCTAAGGTTTGAGTGTACCTGTTTATAAGCACAGTTCAAGGCAGTAATGCAGGTTTTCATAAGCTAACAGCCTAAGCATAGGCACTCAAGTCGCAAGGGCAACGGATCAAATGCCAGTAATAAGAATTCACAAAAAAAAACTTTCTAAAGAGCATTGACAACTTTATGAAGCCAAACAGCAATTTAGAAGCAATAGTAAATCGTAAACAAATATATAAGTATTTGCAGACATTAATATACAGATACACTTAAGAAAATTAAATTTTTTAGATTTTTTATTTTATTTTTATTTATTTCAGTTATTAGTCAAAAAGCAAAAATAAAACGAGATGAAGCAATGTTATTTAAAATCTTAACAAAACTCAGTCAAGTATGATATGAATACATATGCATAGTATACTGTTATACTAGATTATCATTTTCGCAACTGAATCAAATTAGTTTCGTTAATGCTTGGGTATAAATTTCTTTGCTTATGTACAACCAGCAGCTGCTGCTGCCCACCTTAGCTGAGTTACCTGTAGCCATGCAATTTAGAAAAGCGCTGACGCAACTTTTATCACACCCGCAAATCTCTTTAGACAGCGCCAAACATTTAACCCAAAATAAATTGAGAGCCCCTCGCGAACCACTTCAGCCCCTGCCTGGGTCGGCTCTAATCGGCGCTTAACATAAATCGCCTAGTGAGCTCGGCACATGTAATTTTTTTAATTAAACAAAGCAGAAATAAAAAGAGTCGCAATTTTGTTAACTGTGCGCAGAGCCCGCTCTCTGCTTCTCTGCTTGGCAAAGTGGTATCAAATGGGCCTGGCCATAATTCAGCGACGCCAGCGGCCACACCCACCGCAGGCATGCGAGAATGCAATCCGCCCAAGCACCAACAACAACAAGAAACACGAGCCGCAATTATGCCAATTAGAAAATGAAAACCTGCAAATAAAAAACGAAATAAAACAATAACAAAAACGACGACAGCCAAATGGAAGGCAGCCAAGCACGCAACAGGTACTCGAACCACAACAATAAAAAACTTGTCCGTTGACAAAACTTTAGCAAAGGCGTCACGGCGGAACCTCGGCCCCTGCCTCCTACAGCCGCTTCAGCATGCGTGAAATATGTTTGAAAGTGTTTGCGTGTGTCTTCCCAGGCCAAAAAGACTACAAACACAAAATGCGAATCGTAGGGCTTCAGCTGTCCCACTCGGACAATGACATAGTTCCATTGAGGCCCAAGCTGAACCGTGTGACATCGTTCCAAGCGCTGTCTCCCTCTCCTTCTTGCTCTCGCTCTCTAATGCTGCAGCCTTAGAAATGCTTGCGTCTTCCACTCACAATCCGTCACAGTCACATTCACATACACAGTCACAGTCACAGTCACAGTTCCCATTCCTGCTCCCACTTCGCATTTGTTGTCGTCGTCTCCATCAGTTTCTGTAATTTTCATTTATACTCATTGCCCTCTATCGTTGTTGCTGTAGCTTCAGCACTTGGAACACCTTTGGACGTCAACGACGCGTCGCCCCACTTGTGCGCCATGCTGAGCTGAGCTGAGCTGAGCTCTTGAGTGGCTTCGCCTTCGCAGCCTAGTCCCCAGACAAACTAAACCAAACCATTTGTCAGGTCTTTTGTTTGCCCACCTGGGCATCATTCGCTTTGCCCAGCAAACCGCTTATTGCAGCTCTCTTTCCAGCCATGCCGACAGAGTGTGCCATAAATCCATTAAAGTGTGTGACAAACAATTGCTGCCGAGTTATTCCTACATGCATCAGGTGGACAATGATCAAGCAGGCGCAGATCTGTGGCTAGCCTTTGTATGACCACAATTATAGATCCGAAGATCCACCTTTTACTTTTTATTAAATGTAAAATTAATTATAATTTTATATAATTATTAAAATAGTAATTATATTTTATAATTATTATCAGGCTCTCCTCAGGCATAGAATTCTCATTAAGGAAAATTGATGCAGTTTCTTTTATTTTTTTTTTTTTTTTAACAGCGCTCTTTGCCAATCTCTTAAATCTAATTTGTGACTTAAGCTATTCTAATCTAGCAATCAATTTCGCTACGCATACTCTCGTCATATAATTTATTTTGCACTTAAATCTTTTTTAATTTAGTTCCTACTTTCTATCAGTTGTAGATATTCTTTCTATGATAAAATATATTTAGCTCTCACTAACATATGAGCAAATAAAATATATTTGAATACCAATTTATACCAAGGAAAACAGCATTTGATGACAATTTATATCTCATCTACTAGAGATAGAAGTAGAACACTTAAATTGTAAAAAACATTTGAATTATTTATTATATAGCGTTTTATTTATAAAAAATACTTCTACAATTATAAACTTGAAAGCTTTTTCAACCTGAAGATAATTAATTAGCCAGCATCAGATTTAAGATACGAAGTTGAAGAAGTTACTCTACCTCTCAGTCCCTCTCTCTCTCTCTCGTATCTTCCTCTTAAGTAGTGTGACCTTGTTCTACGTTGAGTAAAATCCATAAAAGCAACATGAATTATAAATCCGAAAAACAAACTTTAACCAAATTTAAGATGGAGCCGCATTAGCAAATTGAGGCATCGCCGGCAATAAAAATGCCAATCAATTAATTTGCACAATAACAATAAATACATAATGCCAGTCACATTATTATAATTGGCCTATAAGCCACTTATGGCTGACAACTAATCAGAGTCTGTGACGTATAAATCACAGAGGTATTAAATCTATATAATCTTAGGGAAAATACCAGGAAGTTATTTGATTAATGCACAGCGATTCATTCATATTCATCTGGGTGTTACGTCCAAACGAGTTCGTTTCCTGAGTCTTTTCGCAAATTTGTCACAATAATTAAATAATTTTTTTGTTTTTCTTGTTTTTGCCCGAGCTGTGACACAAAATGCAGCCATGGTAAAAATGCAAATGCTGTTCGAGTCGAGTCAAGAAAATGCAGCCATGTGCAACATGAAAAGCCGAGGAAGCGCCAAAAAAAAAACACAAAAAAAACTGAAAAATTTCCGCAATTTTTAAAGCCGCAAAACAAAGACAGCAATAACTGCTGCTGCGGCGGCTGCTGCTGCTGGTTGCAAGTTGTGAAAACTAAATGTTGCATAATGAAATAGATGCGCGAAATGTGCAACATGCACTGCCCCGCCCCTCCCCAAAGCACCACCCCGAACTGCCGCCTTCAACACTGCCCTGGCAGATGCCACAGCAGTAGCTGCAAACTTGCCAAACGCCCAAGACACTATTTCTCTTTCATTTTATTTTGCTGTTGCAACTGCCACACAGTGTGGCACAAACGCAGTTGAACTTGTTTGGCGCCGTTCCGTTTGCCACATGACCATTAAAAACAACCAAAAAGAGGCCCAAACACAAAATCAAGCTACATATTTTAAAGCCGACGCGCTACGTGACCAAATTCGTATTTTTCACTTTCAAATGTCTTTCGGCCTGTCCCAAACGACATTTGGCTGCACAGAAAACACACATATATATTTATATATATTATTTTATCTACAACTATTTTGCTTTAACTGAAAAGAGTTTTTAATTTTTTACTTTTTATGTTGCTTTTTGCGGACATCGCGTGCGGTGATAAATTTAAAGTCGATCTTAAATGACAGCTTGAACTGAATTGTCGAGGCTAAGATACTCTACCTGGGATTACACTTATATATAACATATATATAAAGACAGTCATTTTATAGTCTATAAACGTATTGAATATAAAAACAACTCTGACTGCCCCACAGATTACTGAAGATTAATTTCTCGACTTGAAAAAATGTCAAAGCTAGTGAAAAGTAAAATAAATAAATAAAATTTAATTAAAAACTTTATTTATTGATTAAATTTTGATTTAAATCATATATTTAAAAAATAATATAAGTTCATTAAAAATTTTTTGCAGCAAAATCTATGTAGAAATTGCGAACCAATGCAGCATATCTTAAAATATTTACTACTCAAGAATCGAAATCTTAAAAAGTTTGATAAATATAAATATAAATATATCAAATTATTCAACAATTATACAATTATCGACCCAACTGGAAGGGGGAGGAAACTTGTTTACCTCATTATATGAAAATATAAAAAATATATAAATATATTTTCAGCAAAGACATTTCATATATATTTCCTATAACTCAGTCCGCGGTATTAAGGCGCAGCTAAACATTTCTAATATAATAAATGGTTTTTCGTATAGTTGGGATCATTAAATGGGCTGCAAGCGTTTAGAAAATGTGAAAATTAGTCGACAGACACTTAAGACCTAATAGAAATGGCCTTCACGCAATTCGCTTTTGCTTTGGGGCCAATGGAGTCGGTTGCATAAGAGAAACAACTGTGGGCCACCACAGTGCGGCTGTCAGGCAAATTGTGTAAGCCACAGAGCAAATTGTTTTCCCCAGATTAAAATCACATTTTCGTCTAATTGACGCCCAACAAGTCGAGTTTTCACCTTGACCGAGCTTACCTTTAATTTAAATATATAAATAATAGACAAATATACTCGATTGTGGAAACTCTAGAGTCTTATTATCATTATATAAATAATAACTATATTGAGGCAAGAATATTTTGTCTTAAATACATTTATAACTTTTTGAAACAAATGTATCTGTTAAAACATTGTTAGTATATATATCATTAAATATTGAGTTCGGCAAATTGATCTTAGCTCGGCTTATGGTTTCAACCTCAAAGCTCATTTCCTCAACAATTTTTTCAAAATGCTTCAAATATATATTTTTTATTTTTGAAATGCATTAATTAAATTAAGTAAATTTAATTTATGCATTTCTTTTACTTAAAATATTTTCTATCATAAATATTTTCAAATACAAAGAGTTTTTATATCAGCTTGAGCTCATATCTTTTGATTTCCTTCTCATATATTAATTCTGATGTGCTGTAAGGTAATTGAACTAAGTTTAAGAAACATAAATATTATAAATTTAAATATAATTATCTGGAATAAATATCTAGCAATGAAAGAATTTTCTTAATAGATAGTTAACTCTCTTTATTTATTATTAAGCTGTAATTGTTTCTTTTCAATTTTGACTACCTGCCTCAACGTACTGAAGGCTCAAAGAAAGCTCATTTTAAATTTCTTTATTACCTCAAAAACTACTTTGGGCTAACCCAAAAAAAGGGCAACAAAAAAAGCCATAGTAAAAATAGTAAAAATAGTAAAAATAGTAAAAATAGAAAAACAGAAAAAACTTACCCTATAAACACCATCAACGAGTTTTGTTATTTCTTCGGCCTCCATTGTGGAACGTGGAGTCAAATTGAGCTACGGCTCGAGAGACGAATGTTATTTGGATGACAGTTGGGCCAAGTAGCTGTCTCGATAGCTACTGGGACAGATATGTGGGGCTTGCAGGCAAATTCACTTTCAGCTGCAGCTCTGACCGAATGCGCTTCAGACTGGGACTGGGACTGGGACTGCACTGGATTTTCACTTTCTAAAGTGGCACACACACACAAACACACGCGAGGCACACACACACACTAATAAAACGTTGAACCGGGCCAAAATGTAAACTTGTAACTTTGACTTTCGGCGCAGAATCTTGGAAATCTTGTTTTGAACCGCTTTGGATGGTGTCGTGACTTTCTTTTCGGCGGCCACACGAGTCCCCCAGCCACGTAACCAGCTAAATTAAATGCCAACACGATCAACGAGCCAACTGTTTTGTCAGCTTTCGGCTTCTCGACGGGTTTTATTTTGGTTTTTTTCTTTTTGATCTTAGGTAGCGCTTCGAGTATTTGTTTGCACGACAACTTTTCGGCTACTTCTACCGAATTACACGAACTCCAGTTGCCGACACGTGATCTGATCAGATTCGATCTGATCTGACCTGAGCCGAGCTGATTGAGCTATTATCGAAGGCCCTGCAATGAAAGAGAAATTATTCAACATTTAATGTTTATGCGTAGAGTCAAATGCGGAGGCAATAAAACAAAATTATAAGCAGAAAAATGTTGAGGTTTATCTTTAGAGTACAAACAGCTCATAATATAAACAAATTCTTCAGGGATTACATGGGTAAAGAGATCGTCATGTAATGTGCTCTTAAGCCAAACACAGAGCAAACTTAGCTTGCGGCGAAGTCAATGGAAAAGAAACAGCTGCAGATATTGCCTTATTATACGATTCTCATTCAAATAATTCATGTGTCTGATGATAAATAAGCTGAATGTGAGGAAGTCGAAGAACTTGGCTGGCGTATAAAGTAAAGAAATTGGACAAAAGGTAGCTGGCTAGGGATTAATAAGATGGACTACCGGAAAATGGAATAACAACAACTGGACTAGAAAGAAATAGGTATAAAATATAAATACAGACTATTAAGAGATGGACTAGTAGGAGATGATCTAATAAATGATGGACTAGCAAAAGATGGGAGTCGCTAGAGTTAGAGAATACACTTTTCGCATATATATTTAATAAAGTTATGTATATTTGGTATAGATCTTATAACATTTATCTATATATATCTTTTATTCGAAAAAATATATTGTAAACTGCCGCTCTACTACTCGATTCTCATTAATGCAACTCAACTCAATCTGGAAATCTCTAGCTCAGACTTACTAGCACGGGAGGCTCTCTCGCTAGTCAGGCGAGCGACGATAGAAGCAGCGAGACGAGAGCGGAGAAGAGAGAAGAGAAAGCGAGCGAGGCGAACGAGAGAGCAAGAGCAGAGAGACAGGAGAGAGAGGGAAAGAGAGAGAAATAGAGAAGAGAGCGCAGCGAGAGCAGTCGAGAGAGATCTCGAACGATCTCTCTAGCTCGCGATCTTCTCGTCTGCTCTCCTCTCTCACTATCTCTCTATCTCTCTCTCTCTCTCTGTCTCTCTCTCTCTCACTCTCTCTCTCTCTCCTTTTCTCTCTCTCTCTTTTTCCTTCTTCCTCCTCTCTTTTGAAATAAAATACTAAATTTCAGTATATATTAGCTATTTTGCACTAAGTTATACCATAGCAACTGAGGGCAACATCATTTAGCAACCGCATTGTTTGATCAATCATCAGCAAGAGGTACTTCAGCTTGCGGTAAAGTTAACGTATTTAAAAAAACAATAAAAGATGAGCAAATTGGATGATCTGTTGGCCAAAAAGAAAACTGTGGTGCCTGTCTTGGATCTGAGCCGCAGCAATATTCAGACAATTGAGGAGTTCAAGCGGCTAATGGAAAAGGTGCCCGACTACAAGATGCGGCCCATTAAAGTACGCGCTGAGGAGATAAAGATACGGGAAAAGGATTACACCTTCAAAATGCCCAAGAAGGAAATGCGCAAGCTACTGAAAGCCAATGGGGAGCGAGAGACGCTCTACACCTATGCAGATCCCATGCCCGGCGAAATGAAGGACGTTGTGCTCATGGAGCTGTGCGCCGTGCCCATTGACTGGAAAATGCTGACCACGCTCAGGCCCAAGTCCAAGCAAGAGGAGGAGTACTTCAGTCGCATGGTGGAAATGGGCAAACTGGAGCTGAAGACCGAGGCACGCGACAGACGCGAATTTGCACTCAACAACTGTATCAGGAAGATCAAAAACAAATCGGGAATTGTGGAAACGCGTCTCATCACCTGTGAGCTATGTGGCGAGGAAATGTGCTGGGGTAAGGCGTAGAGCAATTCATAGATTATTCTACAATCAATTATTTTGCAGGCAAATCCTGTGGCGACTTCAACTACGACTTATACGTACGCGTGGAGGCCAAAGTGCTAAAGCCAAAGCCCTTGGCCAACTCGACTAATAAGGCAAAGCTCAATGGACGAAAGAAATCAACTTTAGTGGGCACCAAAATCAAAGTCAAGAAGTCGGCAAATGTTAAGCAAAACTAGATCAAAACCTTTTTACGAATTTTAGTCTATATTTTTATGGTTACAAATGTAAATTAGTTTTTTGCTACTCGTGACTAGAGCTTTACAACTCTTGAAAGTAACTTAAATTTGATTTATGCATTGCCATTAAGTGAAACTTAAACTAAATATCAATTATACATTTCAACTAATAAATTTCTAATTGGAATTTCTAGCAGAATTTTACTGTTGACAGTGCGCTATAAATTACACCAACAGAAGTGAGTTCTAATCTGTTAACAGTCCGCTGCAATAAGAAGAGGCAGAGCTGTTTACATGGCGCTATTAACTTACGAACATATACTAACAGAATTGAAACATGCTAAACTCCGAGCAGCCCGAGTTGTTAACATTGCACTGTAAACGTGCTGCATACAAGTGTTTTGTTAAAATTTTCTAGTTATGCGTTAGACGCTGTAAAATATTGAGCATAACAGAATTTTAACAGATTATCTCTTTAGCTTTATACATTTCACTGTAAGGCGGATAACATTTCAGCTGTTATTATATATAACTTAAATTATAATATATTCTTATGAATAGCAAAATGAATCAAATTAAATAATGAAATTTGATTGTTTCTATTGTTTCTATTGCAAATAACAATTTTATGCATAGTCGAGTTTGCTTTACTCTCTTAGAAATGCCTGAATTGAATAAAAGAAATTCGTAAATTCCTTCAATGTTAAGTAGCAGGGCAAATGCAAAACAGTAGAAATTTTCAAAATATTTTCAACGGCCATAAAAAGTCAAAGACACAAGTTTTGCCGGCACAACAAAAATTAAAATAAAAACAGAAACACAACAGCCAAATGGAGAGCCAAAAAGCAGCGCTCAAAATGAAATGGCTAAAATATTTAAATTGCCTCTAAACAACAGAGGCAAATAGCCATTAAGGCAATATAAACAAGACAAGGCGCTGCTGCCGCAGCCGGCGCGTTGGCGCGTTGGCGCGCTGGTGACAAACGTTCCCAGTGGCAGCCACCTTATAAAATAAAATTAAAAAAAAAGCAGCCCACTCACTCACTCGCTTGTGCAACGTTTTGTGCAAGCCTCCATCACGCTCTCGCTGGCTCTATCTATGCTATATGCCGTCTCAGTTGCTCAAAAAGAATGCATTGAGCTGTGGCTGTGGCTGCGGCGATTGCACCGCTTTTGATTACTAATGAGAAGTTGAGTTCAGTTGAGTTCGGTTGAGTTCGGTTTGGTTTCGGTTTCGGTTAGCCGATAGCTCTGATTTATGTGGTTTATTTATGGAAATATCTATTCGCGTTGAAATTGAAAATTTGCTTTGAATAACAAATTTATAGCATAGCACCCAGCCAGCCAGCCAGCCAGTCAGCCAGTCATACCTGCGACGGCGGAATTTCAATTTGATCAGCATGAGGAGGTTCTGTAATGTGACCAATTAAACTTAGGGAGCTTTGCTCCAATTGAGAGTGTTTGACTTGTATAATACCCTGTAATACTGCAGAAGAAAAGCTGCATGAGTTGTTGAACTATGGCAAAGAAAGTTAAAGTTTCATTGTCCTTAAGGACTTGGCTGCTGATCAAGAAGACATATATTGGCATATGAGTAGAACTCGTTTCTTAGAAGAAGCCACGAAGACTCCTCCTTTTAGTTTTAGTGTTTATATATACATTTGCTGAAGAAATACTGGGCTTTGATCAAGATCGTACATCTTCAGATAGTAGAAAGATGCTGAAATGTGATCAGCCAAATACAGAAAGCGTTGCCTCAAAACGGAAGTCACACCATTCAATTGAAATGCTGTCATTGTCTTATTGGACTTTCATCGCATCAACGAGAGCTAACTAGGCCTAAGCCACTTTCAGATCTTGTCGCTCATCAATAAACCGAAAGACGTGCCAGCCGATTACGTGGGCTAGCAAAGAAAAACGAAATGATATGCCACAGAAATAAAGAAAAGACAAAACTAAGCAAACAAAATAAACACATAATAGCAATAATGAAAACACGAATGAAAATCACACAAGACTTACGAAATCGATTTCGAGTTGACGTCTTTTGGTGGATGCAAAGATGCAAGATAAACACGCTCAAGTGAGAGTGCCGGAGGCTGGAAAGTGTGTTTGCTTTCAATGTGGAAAGATTTCCGCGCGACTTTGTTTATGTTTGTCACTGGCCACGCCCCACTACGTGCCAGTTAGAATTTCCATGAGGTGGCAAAACAAAAGACTTAGGCAACGAACTGGCGAGGCATTCAGCATTCCAGCAGCAAGCCGCAAGCAAGGTTGCAGCTTGCGGTCAACGCTGCCAACTGATACAGGTGCAGCAGGCAGCAGGCAGCGCATAGCTCGACTGCGAGTATTTTGCAGATGAACAACGTTAGATACCTCGTGCTCGTACTTGCACTTGTCTAATTTATGATGTAGCCCGGCTGGTTGGCTGTGGCGTTTAATTACGAGTCTGCTATGCAAAAACGTTGTTTGACTATTAAGAACAAGGCTAACTTGGCAATCTAGCCACCAGCCGGCAGCTGCCGTTAAAAACTTGTCCATTTTGCTGGCCATGATAACAGCATAGCGAATGGAATTTGCTGCTTACAAAAAGCCAGTAGCTAAATGGAGTTCAATGATATGATAAAGTAGTCATATTCGCCCAGCTTTTGAGTTTTGGACAGCTTCGAATGAGACTTCCCTTTCCTGTCTGCAGAATCTTCAGTGCCACTTCGACATGTCTGTAAACTTTCGCCAAAGCGACGCGAGTCAACAACAATTTTCCAAATATCAGCGGACAGACAACTTAACAAACAGCTAAGGCTAAAGTGTCAGCAGGGAGAGGTAAGTTGGGAGAGGCAAACCCTGGGCTGTTATTATCAAATGCTCATCATTAACATTTGGTGGCTGCTGAGCTGCGATCTCGACGTGATGATCAAATTGCAGCACATGCGAACACGTGTGATGAGCACACAAAAAGATTGTTGTTGCTATTGTTGTTGTTATTGTTGTTGTTGTGAAAATGAAATTAAACTAAAGACTGAAAACTGAAAACTGAAGACTGAAGACTGAAGCCCGAAGTCTCGAATAGCTGAAGAGTGAACATTGTAACAGACAATGCACAGACATGAACGGCTCAACATTGGAGGAGTCCAAATTGCCGCCCGATACATTTGCAAATGAGTCTTAGACATAACAGCAAAAAATAAAACAGAAAACAATAACACTGTAAGCCGATGCAAATTGAGAGGCAACGAGTCTGCGGCCCCCATTGAGACATTGCCCCCTCCAGCAGCCGTACAAATTATTGGCAGTGAAAGTAAAAGCTTAAGTTATTTTCGTTGGGCTGTCGAACCGCACAGCGCACAACCTGCAAAAACGGGGCAAATGCCAGCAAAGTCTTCAAATCAAATTAACATATTTGTACTTTTTGCCCTGCAACAAAACTATTTGAGGCGGCCTTAACACAGCCAATTGATTTCAGTTGCCATTTTTCAAATTGTCTTGCCATGTATCAAAAAGAAAACATCAACCTCGAGTCAGCCAGCTATGCCAACAAGATGTTAGCTGGTACATTAAGCTCACATTACATTCGTCTAATCAGAAAACCACGTAACTATAACACGGAGCGTAACTACAGGGTATTTCGCATTTTAGATAGAAGATAAATAGAAATAATAAAATAAAAAAAAATATCTTTACTATAGCAAGCTACTAATAAAACTGTTTCTATAGACTATTTATATATATTATATACCAGAAATTGTTATATAATGAAGATCCTGATGTCAAGATATAATTCATTAGAGAAAATTTATATTAAATCACTTTATTTCTAAAATGTCTATAAATGAGTGCAGAACTTTCTTTATAGAATATTAAAAAGTCATTATAAAAAATAACAGAATTAACATATATATCTATTTTTTTCCAAAATGACATTATTATAACACATATTTGCGCTACTCACTAGCAATAATTATAATAATAATAATAATAATAATTATAGACTTTTTACTGTGCTCACTATCCAAAGAACATTTACAGGATATCTACCAGTCATATTTGTTTATATATATATATTTTATTTATTTTTATTTACTCTGTCTCGATTTCATAAAGTTTGGAGCTTTTTTCTACAGCGTATCTAGCAGTGAGAATACTTCATTCTATAATATTCCAAAAAAAGCATAACATTCATCCTTTTACAGTTTATCTTACATTAATTAATATTAAGTCAGTAAACGATGCATTAGAAAAAAGTTTCGCTACAGGGTATCTACCAGTCATTTTCTTTACAGAATATCTGCAGCTATATTAAATGTCTGCAGCTTATACAATTTTTCAAGCTGAGTGTCTGTCAGTCAATTCCCGTCATTAGACATTTAGAATTTTACCTGCAGGGTATCTACCAGCTATTCCTATATATTTTATAGGGTATCTAACAGCACATCAAATGTATGCAATGCACACAAAGAATCTGCTCGTCGCACACATACACTAAGCACTTGGACTGATTTTTACAGGGTATCTATCAGTTACGCCTGCTGGTTTAGCATAAGAATTGTACATGCAGGCATAGAGTCAGACGTACATCTATTCATTACAATGTTGTGAGTGTTTTTACAGGGTATCCACCAGCCATTAGCATTCCAACTATTCGTGTTATATATTTCTCCCATCGCACAAAAAAAGTGCAAGACAAAACAATTCCAGGCGGCGTTCTATTAACCCACTAGCTGTAGCTGTTGCTGTTGCTGTTGGTGTTGCTGGCGCAGTTGCCTACTCGTAATTGGACACACCTAGCACCGCCTATCCATGGGTATCTTCGACCCGGACCCGATCGTGACTTCATTTGGCAACGTTGTGCACGTAGCTGCCGCATTTCTGGAATCTCTGAATGTTGTCGGCTCAGCTGAGAGTGGCTGAGCCGTCATAAATTAGGTGTAGATGGCATCTCAAAGTGCCGGCTCGGCATCCTCTCGCTGCGCAATTTAATGGCGACACACAGAAGATCTGAA